GTCACCATGTTCCGTCCCACTCTCATCTTCCCGTGACCTCACTCTCATAATCTTTCGCCAGATCTTTCGCCAAAAAAAGAATACTTTCGCCAACTCGAGAAAAAACGTTCGCCAAATGAGATTTTGATATGTTCCGGGTCATCGTCATACACACTGCTGACTAGGACCTTTAGATCGACAACCATATATGAGTTCAGTTTGCTGTGAGCATCGGAGCAACAGGGCTTAAACAAACATGCTTCTTCTATTGCTGAAATCCCAGCCAAGTCTCCCATTTCACTATGGCCATTGGCGTGCACCCTCTTGACATGAGCATTGTTTCTATCACTCTCAGCGCATCTTGCGGATTCTTGTCACAATGCTTCCCAGCGAGTCTCAATTCAAATCCAAAGTGCTTGGTTTGCACCCCATTGGTGCTGAGGCCAAGGCCAGTTGTAAAGCTGCACTTGTAAAATCTGACATCCCATGGGCTGTAAATGGCAAGCCACAACTCATCAAAGCACTGCGGCTTGATTGCTGCAAAGTGGCACAACCATCTGTTCTGTGTCTTGCTGTACACCAGCTTGCAACACTTCATTTCTACCCACACTGCATCTCTGGCCCAGTCTGCCGCCAACACCCCGGCATGCAAAAAATGACTCTGAGGGTGCATTTTCTTATCAATAGTCAACGCCATATCCTGGATCCGCAAACCTCTTTTTGCGGAACTGAGGTGGCACCAAGGAACATCAAAATACATGCTGTGGCCAACATCTGTACACTCTCGGTGAGTGGCCAGCAGGGCCTCGATTTGTGCATCGTCCAGCAGCTGCTCAGCTACAAGTGTGCAACTGTTTTCTTCACATATTTTGCGCAAAATGGTGTCAAGTGCTTCTTCGAGGCAACTATCACTTGTCCTTCCGAGTATTTGAATTTTGTACCCGGTTGCTTCTGTGCGTCTGCCATCAGATTGTATGCCTGCATGCAGATCGTGCCTGATAAGCAGCAAAGCCCTGGGACAAGCAAGGACCAAGTACAGATCATCAAAAAAAGGTTCAGAGCGTTTCCCATAAGGAAGCTTGACGTTCCAGAAACTCACCATCCAGACTTTGCGTGTTGAAGACCATGTGACACGAGCGCTCTTGACTTCCACTTTTCTCCCCTCCAACACAAAGTCGTGAGTTGCAGTCCACGCGCTTCGGTTCGATCCATTGCAACATGTACCAGGCTCAGGGTCCAAGATCTTCGACTTTGGGTAAATCCTTTGAAGAGTTTGTCTAGCCCAGGCTTGAAGAAGCTTTCCTTGTTCCAGCTGGCTCACGGTTCCAAGGGGGCTGGTGGCATATGCAGTTTCTGTTGGACATTCTTGAAACAGGTGCTTGAACATCGAGTCTGATGCTCTTAGTAGCAGCGGCTGGCAGTTCCAACTTGCACTTGGTTTCAGACTTCTATGCCCAATCTTCCATCTGCAAGCTCCACCGTCAATTATTAGCTTGATAGCACATTGCCTAAAGCCCAACATTACACAAACGCATTTGCGAGACAAGATATGAGGCCACACGGCACAGCATTCTTGAGCCCAGACTTCTGCAACAGCAACCGCATCTTTCCCCAAAAAATTGAATTCCTGGCTTCAACAGCTCAACACTATGTTGTTGACAACTTGCCAGGGCGACGACGTCTTCACGCCTTCATCTTATTTGTGCTGTGCACTGCGCACCCACTTGAAGAAATAGTCTAGTGACTACATAGCATTCCGAGGGCCATGCGTATCATGTATAATTAGAAGAGTTGTTGAACACTATGTCACAATTTTCGAACCTGCCGCGAGTGCCGCGCGAGTCGAGGTATCCACCTACGACCTACGCACGTCGATTATCTTCAAATCACCTTTAGGTCACCTGCCGTCTCCAAGCAGCATGTAAACGCAGCATCCAAACAATGTTGTTGACCTGACACTCTTCTAGTTATATTGCCATCTTGCACCTAACCCCGTTGTAAACGCAGCATCCAAACGACTTTTCTACAAGACCAAACGACTTAACACAGGTACTAGTACGTTTTGAATCTGTCTCATGGTATCTCTAGTCTAGCACGTTGGAATACCAACCGTGCCTGATCAAGGAATGGCCTCAGGGACTGCCTCAGGGCTCTACACAAACATGGGTCATACTTCCCTAGCGTGTTCCATGATCTACTGCACATGCTGTGGTGCTCCTCACATATTGAAGTTCACGGAACACACGCACACAAACTCTTCCCAGAGTGCAGGGTTTGAGAAACGTTGATTGAGTCCCTCGGGGGCCGCTGCACGACAATGCATGAAAAATGCATCCGTGTTTATCCAGCATCTTCGAAGGACAAAGAGCGCAAAGTGGATCTTGCGGCGAAGTACCAGGGCAGCAAAGCAACATCACTGCACCTCCCAAGCAATTGCCCTCAAATCTTCAAGTTTTTGAGGATTCCTGGTCCTTAGCTTGTTCTTGACTGTTTGAAACGAGTTGGATTTTTAGTTATATAAATGTTTGGAAGGGCTTGGATTATGCCACCAAGTTAAAGGTCTGAAATTAATCATCCTTCGGCTTGTATCAAACCCTGCAGTGGTATTGACACGTTTTCAACCAAAACATTCTTATATGCTGAAATCCCTGAGAAGTTTCCCATTCCACCACGGCCACTGGCATGCATCCTCTTGACATCAGCTTCGTTTCTATCACTCTCAGCGCTTCTAATAAATCCTCCTCATATCTGGACACACTGACGCTCACGTCCAGTCCAAAGTGTTCGGTTCGCACCCCGTTGGTAATGAGGCCGAGGTCATTTGTAGAGCTGCACTTGTAAAACCTGACATCCTGTGGACTGTAAATGGCAAGCCACAACTCCTCAAAACACTGAGGCTTGATTGAGCGAAACCGGCAGTACCAATGGAGTTTGGTCTTGCAATACACCAGCTTGCAAGACTTCATTTCCACACGCACTCCGTCTCTTGCCCAGTCTGCCAACCCTGCGTCATGCAAGAACTCACTTTCGGGATGCAGTTGTCTATCAATAGCCAAAGCCATACCTTCGATCCGCAAGCCTCTCTTTGCTGAGCTCAGGTTGGACAAAGGAATCCCGCAGTAGACTTCTTGGTGACAATCTCTGTGAGCGGCCAAAATGACATCTAGATGCGCATCGCACAGTGACTGTCTCGCCACAACTGTGCAATTGTTTTCTTCACACAGTTTGTGCAAGATAGTGTCAAGCGCTTCTCTGCAAGAATCGCCTGCTCCTCCATAGACAGTAAGTTTGTGGCCTGTGGTTTCTGTGCGTTTTCCATCGGAACTGATGCCAGTACAAAGATCGTGTTTGATCAACAGCAAATCGCTGGGGGAAGCCAAAACTAAGTACAAGTCATCAAACAAAGCATCCCCTCGCTTCCCGCAAGAAAGCTTTATGTGCCAAAAAGCTGCTAGCCAGACTTGTTTTGATAGGTCCCATGTCAAACGAGAACTTTTTACCTCCACTCTTACCTCATCCATTGCAAAATCATACTCTGCCTGGTATGCACTTCGCCGCCCTCCGTCACAACGCACTCCTGGTTCTGGGTCCAAAAAGACGCGCTCCGGATGAATCTTGCGTAGAGTCTGCCTGGCCCAGTCTTGCAAAAGGTTTCCTTGCTCCTGTGTGCTCATCTTTCCAAGGATGCTATTGGAATAGACCATTTCTGTTGGTCCCTCTTCAAGCAGGTGTTTAAACTCCGGTTCTGATGCTCTCAGCAGCAGCGGTTGGCAGCACAAACTTGCACTTGACTTCTGACTTCCACCCCCCAGCATCCTCAAGCGGACAACAAGTGTTCTGGTAGCACATCGCAAGCGAAAGGATCGACACAACATAGCCGCACATCCAAAAGAGGACGAGAGTGGACCGGCAGGAAAGCATCCTTGAGCCAAGACTCTTGGACTAAGAATCCTGCTCACATTGATTGAACGATCAATCCCTACCTCCAACACATCAGTGTTACAAGTACCATGCACAAGTACTATGCTTTCTGGGTGCGTCTTCAAGACGTTCACTGCACCTATTGATGCTACAGCTGCTGCTTGCGTCAAACAGCCTCACAACCCCACACAACTAAGACCCATGCTCATGCTCCGCACGACACAAGCGCCCAAGTCACCAGGTAGTGCCACCCACCAGGTGTCCCGAGACCATGCTACTCTCGCAGAAGCCGCTGAAGAGCCAGGAACGGAAGGAGGACGTTTCGCAGAGCTCCAGGTTCCACAAGGGCGGAAAGCTCCTTGGAGCTGCTCAACAAAAACGGAATTTAAATGGATGAGGAAGGGGTGGGATTTAATTGGTTTTAATGAGAAAAACTATAGAAAATCCAAAGGAAATGAGGAGTGCGACCACGGTTTGCTACTTAGAAAGTCTTTCGGGTTGGTTCAAGGTTCAAATCTTTCCAGGCTCTTGTCCCCAAAGTTGTGGTTGCTACTTGGGGGCGAAGGGATTTGGACACGTGCAGGCTGAAATGGCACCCCGTGGCCTTCTGGTTGTTCCCGTGGTCCCTTCGCTTGGTCCCTTTGGCTGCTTCGCCAGAACAGTTCGCAGTCAACGATGGACGGTTGAAAGTAGTTGCAAGACCCAAACTTGAGGCCAGGGGGAGGAGGTCGAAAGCTAGCCGAATCGCACCGGATGTACTAGTTACATAGTCGGCAAAGCATGTAGGGATTACATGTTTTGGGAGGAAGGTTGCTATGTACATACTTTGCGCTAAAGAATGTAAATGTGACATCGCTGACTGGGAAGGGTACATTGGAACAACCCGGGTGCACTCGTTGGCAGGCACGAAGATGCGTGATCGGCAAATCTGGGGGGGTAAATTTACCCTCCGCTTTTGTATGCCTTGAGTCGGAAAGAGGGGTAAGCATTTCTGACATCATACGGACTGTACATACACTAGGGCGTCCGTAGTGTAGGAGAAGCACGGGTAAAAGGTATATCGAATAGAGTGTCTTGAGGAAATAGCCGGCTTGTGGTTATTGCAAATCTGGGGGGTAAATTTACCCCCCGCTTATGTATGCCTTGTGCCGGAAAGAGGGGTAAGCATTTCTGGCATCACAAGGACTGTGCATACACTAGGGCGTCCGTAGTGTAGGATGAGCACTGGTAAAAGGTATAAGGAGTAGAGTGTCTTGAGGAAATAGCCGGCTTATGGTTATGGCAAATCTGGGGGGTAAATTTACCCCCCGCTTATGTATGCCTTGAGCCGGAACGAGGGGTAAGCATCACAAGGACTGTGCATACACTAGGGCGTCCGTAGTGTAGGATAAGCACTGGTAAAAGGTATCAAGAATAGAGAGTCTTGAGGAAATAGCCGGTGTATGGTTATAGCAAGCCTGGGGGGAAAATTTACCACCCGCTTATGCATGTATTAGGTTAGAAATAGGGGTAAACAACTTGTAACGGTGAAGTACAAGTCCTATGCAGCAAGCAGCAGCCAGCAGCAGCAGCAGCAGCAACGGCAGCAGCCGCCTGCAGCCAGCAGCCAGCAGCAACCGCCAACCAGCAGCCAGCCAGCAGCACCACGCAGCAGCAGCAGCAGCAGCGCAGCATCAAGCCGCAGCAGCAGCAGCAGCAGCACCACCGGCAGCAAGCAGCAAGCAGCAAGCAGCAGCAGCAAGCAGCAAGCAGCAAGCAGCAGCAGCAGCAGCGGCGTCGTCAGCAACAGCAGCAGCAGCAGCAGCACCAAGCCGCAACAAGTAGCAAAGCAGCAGCTACAAAAGCGGCAACCAGCGGCAGCAGCAAACAGCAGCAGCAAGCAGCAGAGCGGCAGCAGCAGCACCGTTTACACCAAGCCACCGTTTACACCCAACCAACCACGTTCACACGTTCAACCAACCCCCTACACGGCGCGCAGCTGGGAGTCGAACCGTGGGGGGGGGGTTAGTGTGATATATCAAGCTTTAAGGCACACAGCTCATCCCACTACCAATTGCTAAAGCAAAGAAGAACTCAGCTAGCATGCTAGCTTTCGTGATCAAAGCTCGGGATCCACGGTCGACTCTGTGCATGGCACGATCAGTGGTGACAACCACCGCACAAACAACTAACCACCTGGCACCGCACTGCCGCAGGCTTGTTAACTTCTTCCATGTGCAAGTCTCTCCGCATTGCCCGCGACAAAGCCCTCGATCCATTCATCAGCGGGCTCAATGAATCTCTTGGGCAAGGTCCTCCCACACAAACACACACAATCGGCACACCGGATGCCAATGCGACTCTTAGGTGAGCAGGCCTGTGGGAAACTGAGGTGCAGCTGCAACAAATGACAAGGTTAAGTTGTTGATTGTGCTTTTGATATCAACAAGTGCTGTGTGGTTCACCCCACTTCCGTACAAAGTCCAAGACATGTGGATGTCAATGGGGTTATAGGGAGGACCACATCATCTGGCCCATGTTGATTTCGCCGAGCAGCAACTTCAACACCTGATCTCCCTGCAGAAAAAAAGAACAGGACATATCAACATCTTTTTGGCCCACAGGTGAATAGTCAAACAAAACTTAACCTCCCTCCGACTCCCTCCATCAACGTTCCAAACAGGCGCAGCCTGGCAACGCAAGTCAAAGTCAGCTCTGAATCCCCCATGTCCCCATGTGCTGTCTGGTGTGACACAGCACCCCTAGCGGCTGGCAGAATCACCCCTTCATGGCGCCTCTTCAGAAGCTTCATGAGGCCTCTCCTGATCTGCACGTTCACTCCCTCCTGTCGCGTGGCGCAGGTTTGGAGCGTGGAGGCTTGGAGCCTCTGGTATCCACACATCTTCTGGAAACATGAATCTTTCATGTCTTTCATGCTCACTCCTTTGACATCTCATGGATTTTTTTCATGGAAACTTTGACATGTCAAACCCCAAATCGGGTCAAACTCGTCCTGATGATAAGGGAGCCCCTGAAAGAACTGGTCAACCCCAGGCATGTCAACCTGACCCAATGGGAGTTGCCCCAAACAGCTACAGATTCTCTCGCCAGCCTCGGATCACTCCCGAGCCCGAAGGACGTGAAACACGGGCAATCAGAGATCCTCACCCGAATGGGGCCCAGGTCCATTCTCGAGGCCCGTACTGAAAAAAACAGTCCTTGCATCGGAAAAAAAAACAATGCAACAACGCCCGGTATGGCAATGATTAGGGCCGGCAAAAGCTCTACCGTCCCTCAACGAACTACTATAGGACTCTCTTCCACCTGCGCACATCCACACACACCCATCATCCAACCTAAACAACAGGTCGTATAACTAGTGTGCGCACACAAGAACATGCACACCAAGGCCAAGCCTGAGTCCCATGATAGGCATATCTCAGCTCGCAGGAGACCAACTTGCATTGCCACACCAGGTCGCCGCCCCAGGCGGCACCATACCTGCGAGAGAGTGTTTGCGAAAGGGTTTGTGTTTAACTGTTTGAGTGCTCTTAAAGACCCGCAAAACCGGCAAATCAACAACTGCTTTCAAGGTTGGGAATGCAACAAGGAAAAACTGACTTCAGAACAGGTCAATGTCAAAAGCTGGAAGGAATTATACAAGCGATCAAATTTATACGTGCAAGCCATGCGCTCACTGATAAGAGGAGGCCTTGGTATGCGGAAAGTTCTCACCTATTCGGTATTCTTTTACCATCCACTATTACAGAATGTTTCGTGGAACATCTTCATTTGCTACCCTGCTGAAAGGCTGTGGCTGTTTCTCAAAGAACTTGGCACAATGGACTGTCTGGATTCACCTCGTTGTTATATGTGCTTTGTCCGAAGATCTGTCGAATCCATGTCTAGTGAAGTGCTCAGGTGAATATCTTGAGCAGTGGAAGTGTCTGACAATAGGAGACTCGCCAAAGTCTACGGAAATCCCATTCCTGTGAGAGAGATGCATATCAAATAATACTTGGCCGCAATGCTGTTAGCTACCTCCTTTTCCTTCTGTGACTCCTGTCATCCTGTCTGCGTCGTTGGTCCAATCGCCTCCTCCATTGGACATTGAAAACGACCAGCCCAACGACGAGTGCGATCACACAAATCCTCGGCTGTTGGCATCGTAGCGGAGACCGATGCTAACCCAAAACAACAACAACAACAACAACAACAACAACAACAACAACAACAACAACAACAACAACAACAACAACAACAACAACAACAACAACAACAACAACAACCAACAACCAACAACCAACAACCAACAACCAACAACAAACAACAAACAACAAACAACAAACAACAACCAACAACCAACAAGCAACAAGCAACAAGCAACAACAACAACAACAACAACAACCACAACAACCACAACAACCACAACAACCACAACAACCACAACCACCACAACCACCACAACCACAACCACAATCACAACAGCCTGTGGTCCGATGGTCCTCAACTATGCCCATTCAAAACAAAAATAACACGACGCCTATCTTCGTCTCCAACTGAACTCCCAACACAGTCACTCCATTCCTCTCTGCCCCAGCTCCAAGACTCACTTGCCCTGCCATCGTCAAAAAGACGCTGGGCGAACATCCGCGGTTCGGCACGGGGCGCCGCTGCGCCAGCTGCTTCACCGTCTTCCGGCGCTCCTGGAGCGGAAAAACGGTAGACCGGAACAAGGGAACAAGGGGGTCCGGTCAGAAGAACACCAAAATCAGTCAGACTTGTTTCGGATTCAGTCAGACACAGACTTTGTTCCGCTGGAGTCGTTGTTTTCGTTCGGATTCAGTCGGACTTGTTTCTGTGGGTTTCGGGTCGGTTGGACTTGATTTGGCGTTCGAACATGCATCGTTGGCTGGCTTGCTGTCAATATTAAGACATTGAAACGCTTGAACGTATACTGTTATGTTAAATTATAGGAAACCATATCCAAAACGATTCGAAACCAATTCACCAATCATGGGTGAAAGCGAATTCTGATCTTTTCACCTTGCTATGCCGGAATAAAGAATTGAGCCTGGCTGTTCAAGCTTGCCTTCAAGTAGTCCAACGAACTGTCTCCTCCAAAACCCCTTGGAACAAACGATGTACCGCCAAATATATGAGTAAAGTTTCTGCTAGGCTTCATTCGCCATCCAAAATTAAAATCTTAAGTTTTGGATAATTCAACCAAACTTGCCAGACTTCCGACTGGCTTTCATCTCAGCTATTCTCAGCTCCTCATCAAAGTCGATCTCCTCCATCCGCAAGCGCGCGCAAAGCGAGGCGCGCCGCCAGCTGCGATGAAGCGAGGAGGGCCACAAAGGAGAGTTCACCAGTGGTCAGGGTTCCCAAAAACGAACCCGAAAAAGGATCTGAGTAGAGTAGAGTGTCTGGTCGAGCCTGGTGGGGTTCATCTGTATGAGTGTTGGTCTGACAAATGCAAGGGTGTGAAGACTTGAAGAGACTTTGGCAAAGCGTGTAGCCTTTTGCTCAAGGTTACCAATTGCTCTGGAAGGTGTCTGGCACAAAGGTCGTTTCACTAATCAAGCACCTGCTGAACGAGTTCTTGCGGCAGTTTTGCTCATGGTGGGTTCCATGAAATTTGTCAAGTAAGTATAGAATATGGAGCAATCATGAGCAATCCAAGAACCGTGAAACAACAGTAACAGTGGTCATATAGTTTGGTGAGTCTTCCCAAGTCTATCTTAATTTATCGCATGACCCCTTTGAGGTTCATGGATAGAGTTTGAAGTTAATTGAATTCCCATGGGTGCATCTCATCCATCTCATCCTGGGGTGTGGGAGGTTGATCTGCTCCTACAGCACTGCCACGGCCAACTGCCGGCGCGCGAGGCGCACAGCTTGGGCCAAATGTGAGAGGAGCGTGTCTCAAAGTGCAGAGCTCACCCAACCAATCAAGTTGGGAGACTGACCTCCCACTCTATTCAAGCAAAACAACCCAAAACCCAAAACCCTAAAAAACATAACTTTACGAACTACTTGGCTTGTTCAATGCTTCTTCTAATTCAATCCAACGAACTCTGTGAACAGAAACAATCCTTGGAAACTGTAATTCCAACAAGCCCAAACCTTAGCCTATACCTTTCAGTCACCACCGAGCAAAGCGCTCCAGCAGAAAGCTCCTGGCCTGGCTTGCTCCTGTTGTTGTCCCAAGACCTGGAGCATTCGACCCAGTTGGGCCCAGCGTAATTTACCCAAACCCAAATGCCAAAAAAGCAATTGCCAAATGGAATGCCAAATTGCCAAACAGTTGCTTGCTTGTCAGCTTTGCTTGCCCAATTGTACCCATGAAATGAGCAAAGCTGAACTAATTGCCAATTCATCGAAGAACCTTGGCTTCGGCATGCTTGGGTCACAGTTGCCAATGATGGCCAAAGCTTCTTGCTTGATGTCCGTGTTCTTCCTGACTCTGTGAAGGTTTGGGGATGTCTTTTTCTATCAAAGGCTTAACTGTTCATCCCCCATGCAGAGATGTCACCCGTTGGTCTCAACCACCCAACCTGGGGGCTCAGGGGATAATCATGAGAGGTTCCGGTCTATGTCGAACATGTGACACCAGTAGCCCAGTCGTAGACAGTGGTGGCAACCCCAAAAAAGATCCTTCGAGCAAGAGCAAAACATGATCGGCCTTGAGAATAGGTGCTAGCCAGCCAGCCTGTTTCAACTCCAAACACCCTCCGAAACATCCAAAACATGACTCCTCCAAAAAAGCCTCCCTATTCTAAGTCAATTGTCCCTGGCTCCGGCATGTGCTTTTTTCCGCGTCCCAAAACCCCCTGCCTTCCCAACGACAAACACCCCGCCCGATTTTGGTGTCGATCGAACTCGAGGTGCCGCACGTGCTCCCACAGCGCTTGGAGCCGATCCTCGAGGCCCAGATCCGGCCACCTTGGTGGTGGTGTGGTGGAAGGCTGATACATCAGATGTTCCTCGGTCGTTTGGCTGGACATGTCACATGGATGTTTACCTCATGATTCTGATGTCCTGAGACACCTCAAGTCTTCGCATCCTTGGGGGTCCTGGGATGAACAGGATTGAAAAGGGCGGTGGACTGGGCGGAGGGAGGTTGGGAGGTGCTGGCGGACACGGGGGGGGAGGACCCTGGATGGAGGTGGCTGACGGATGTCCAAAGGTTCAGTTGTGGCAGTGGATTCCACAAAAAAGGGTTCTCCTTGGAGTGAAGGAACATGAAGTTCTTCACGTAAATATCTTGTGACTAAAGTGAGGTTGTGTTTAAGCACCCTATATGTATCAGAATCGAACTAGTTGTGCTAGCTGCAGGTTTTCCCCGCAAGGAGTTAAGACATGAACTGGCAGGCGGGCAAAGGATGATAGCAACCCAACGTCAGTTGGAGATTGGTGATCACGCTTTTTGTCCCTCCTCTGTTGAGAGGGTTCTTTCGTGAGACCCACTCAACTTGCATGATCCAGCCACAATTTGAGAAGGTAGCTTATTATGGTCGCTTATAGCTGGTCTTTAAACCCATTTCATCCCACTTCAACTATCCCCAGCTCCCACCTTCCCCAGAGAGATGACCCCGTGGATCCACAGGGCTCTTATAGAGATAAGAAGAGGGGGGGATCGGCCGCCAACGAAAGGCCTCGTCAAACCCCGAGGCCTTGACCTAAAAGGCAACCGCGTAAACAAACCAGCCCAAAGGAGAGGCAACCGGATGCTGGAAGCAATGACGGATTTCCCGGGCTCGGTTGGAGAGGAAAACCATGGGAAAACGGGACCTTGGGAGTGGTTTGTCGAATGATTCTAACCCTGGCTTCTCTCAAGTGAACCGTGGTGTATGCCAAAGTAATCAGAAGATTCTTGGAGGTCCTACCTTCTGCTTTTCCTTCCTCAACCTCGCGGTTCTCACAAATCAGTATAGTCGTTGCTTTTAGATGTTCTTAATTTTAAGGGGGTGAAGGCTCTACCAGTGGTCGATGAGTACCAAATGCGTGGCTGCAAAAAGCAAGGCACCCCTTTTCGCATCTGCCTCTGCAATGTGGTTGATACACCTTGCAGCACAGCTAGTTGTTCGGCTTAGGAAGCTCTCCAAACAGGGTCACCTGGACAGCATGAAGTGCATGATGCAGGTGAACGGGGGACGCATGTTCCCTCTCCACGGCAGTTTCCTTGTTGTCAATGAAATCCAGGGAGGCTTTCTCAAGAGCTCCCCCAAAGCCCTACATCTTTGACAACCTGGGCTCATATAGAGTGGCCATCAAGTTTTGGCGATCCGGACCAGCCGCTTCCTTCTATTTCAGCATGTTTCAGCCTTCATAGCTCCGAAGTGGCACTCACTTGCAACGAAGGTCTTTGCAAATTACCTAAACTAATGTGGTTCAATGCATTTCGTTCTAAGAGATGGCTCGCAATTTCTCAGCTGCCCCGGTTCTCTCAAGGGCCACGGTCCATTGGCGCAGCAAGACCTTGCCCATTTTTCAACAACGGCCTGCCGACTGAAACGGATGAAAACCCGCCGCCAAGCAGTTGACTGGCACCCGTTCGTGAGCTCAAAGACCTGATTTAGACCCAACCGTGCACTACCGGAACAAACCAAGCCTGAACAAGACTTGCATCGAGCGTCTCTGTGCATTTGGCACGAAGAACATGCGTGATTCCAAGTGTGTGTTTTCTGACTTGATAATTGTTTGCAAAGGATTGAGGCTGTTTACACGTGGGTTTAAAGTTTAAAGTGTTACACATTTGAACAAAATAACAAAGCACAAGTTAAAAACCCGGACACAAACCGTCTAAGCCTACAAAGGCCCAACAAGCCAAGCCAGGCAATCTATAGAAACCTGTGTTATGTTTGAGAATTGTTTTCCCTTCTGCCACAGGGAACAAGGCCCGAAGGGAGTTCAACACCTTCTTGGAAATGGCTGACTGCCACCCCTTGTGGAAAAAAGTGAAACATGTGCTAATTAACCATTCTGAACCAAGCATAGCAAGCCCTTGCTTAGCCAACAAACTTGGGATGTTGTTGGTGGTTTTCTTGGGGTTCTTAGAGTTACTGGGTTTCTGGGATGTGGGCACATATACAGTATTTATACTGAGGCCTTGCCCTGGATCTTCTTCTGTGTCTTCAGGTGCATCTCCCAGTCCACATGGCGGTCATTTACCACAATTCCGCAAAAAGCCATTGGGATGGGCGCGGGGCTGTTCTTTGATCCACAGCAACAAAAAAGCAAACAGGATCATTGAAATCTAGATCACGTGCAACAACACCAGTCACTCTGTTGGAATCACATCCTGGCCCACTCCGATCTCAAGGCATCTCCCTAAAAAGGGATGTGGCAAAACCTCCAAGATTTGCAAAGATTTTCACAACCTTTGGAAAACCTACAGTACATTTAGATTTCAGACTAGATTCGAGTTTTCACTTTAAGTACGGTCTCGCTTACGAATACTTTCCTGGAGGTGCTCAAATCCGCACGTCCGAGGACGTCAAATCCGCCGTAAGCGCTTGAGGCGTTCGCTCAGAAGAGCGCTCAGCATTTCGATTCGGCCGTGCTGGGCACGCTGGCCTTTGTGCCTGCGGCCCGGTGCAGGCCAGTGAGGAGGGACATGGGTGGCAGTCACTTGTCCGTCACAAAGGTGGAGTTTCAGAGACTCCGAAGTACGTTCAGAAGGAAGATCACTCCTTTGACTCTTTGTTGAAAGGGTCACCACATTTTGCCCTGCCGCTCGCTAAAATGGATGTCCACGCAATTTCTGGCGGGCATCAGAGATATGCTGATAGCGGAAGCTGTTGTGAAAAGGTCTTGAGAGTAACCTAGATGTTCAAATGATTCAGCATAGTTGAAGGAACCCATGAGTACATGGTGCGCCCCATAAACTGGACAATCACATTTCCAGCAGGTGGAGGAAGTGCACCGGCAGTTGGCCGCGAGAAATCGAATGCAGGGCACCAGTGACCAAAAAGCAAGTTGAAAGATTTTAAAACCCAGGTCGTGCTCTTTCTGCGGTGTCAGTTATAGCCGGATTCTCTCCCAAAACTCCGGGGCCCTAGGCCCTAATCCCACCACGCCCAAAACCACCAAACCACCAGTGATGCGGAAGATCCCAAGCCGCCTCGATAAGAAGTCTTCAAGCCGCTGGGACAGCTGTTGGGGAGATATCCTCACCTGAGGCGTGGCTGAGGTCGGCCGGACTGTTCGGCGCAACAGGGTGCGGCTTGGTGCGGTGCAACAGGGTGCCGATTCATGACCACAACGAGCAAAACAGGGATCGAGTCACAACAGTTGTCCCCCGGTATATCCCATTCCCAGTAATAGTGGGTGAAGGTTGCAGAATAGTGAACACATATAGTTGACCAACTGTTACTGGTTTACTGGGACACACCCTAGTCACAGCTGTGTGGGAGGCAAAACAAAAAATGAAGAAACTAAGAGAAAGGCACCCCAAACACCAACAACTGACCCGTGCGGCGAATCAGAATCGATGGTGCCTAGATCCCATGATATCCCATGGCTTTCTACCAGTGAGGTCATTCCAAATTCAATCCCTTACCATTTGATCCCCCCGCCAAAAAAAAACAACGCAGTTTCTATGAATAGCAGTTTCTTTATAGAGGTTATATAAAGGGCTTATAACTCTAACCCAATACCCCGTCTATGAAAGTCCGCCAGGACTAGTTTGGGCGCTGGTTTCTTTGTAGTTCCAGCTGAAACCATGGCTCCACTACCATACTGACAAAGCGCATTGCATTAGGGGCCTGAAAAGGCCACTACTAGTCCAAATGGCCAAAAACAAGAGCGAGCCCACTCCACCACCTGCATGGTAGACATCACTGCTCATATTGTCACCGTGGTTTGCAAAGCAACACAGTTGCCAGAACCGATTGGCCAAAATCGGGCCAACGAATTACTTGAGCCAAGCTATATATATTTATATCGTTTGCACAAAAGACAAAATAGACTGTAAGACTACACACAGGCTTGCGTTCAAAAAATTGGGGGCGCCCTTGTTCATAGGCCTACACTGCAAGCCCACACCCCTCAACAAAATCTTTGCCAACGGAGTGCAACGCAGTGAGTTGCACAACCCAGCAGGTTTGGTTGTACTTTTGAAAGAAACGTGTGTCTAGACAGCAACTCTGAAGATGTCCACGGCATTTCCCCTTTGGAAGCCTATCCAAGGCCACCTCTCCAAAAGAAAATGCCGCTTTGAAACTCGCACCAATACACATCAGCTCTGTGTAACGTGGAGAGCTTGTCACTCTGAAAAAGTTGAACCCTAAACCGCAAACTATCGAGCGAACGTGCGGATCTCTATCCAAAATTGTTTTCTGACCTTGCGTGTGCCATGTCTCGGGGCGATGTCGCCTGAGCCACTTCCACTTTAAGTGGGAACACACTTGACCCACCCTTTGCGTTTACATTTCGGTGTCCACCTTAGGTGGAAACACGCTGCACTCACCACTGTGTTTATGTCCATTGGCCTTTTTGAACAATGGCATCAAAATGGGAAACTGTAAAAGGTATATACAACGGTTCCACCAACAATGTTTTGGTTGAATTGCGTAGGCCAAAGAAAGGTGAGATACCATGCTAGGCAACTGTCAACGCTTTAGAACTCAGAAGCTGGAAGCAACTGCCACTCACTGAAGCGGCCCCTTGCAATCGAGAAAAGATTGGCGAAGAGACCTGAGAAACCAACACTTAAAATCAACAGCAAATCTGCTGGGGTGAGTGGCCCCCAAAACAATGAAAGAGAAGGATGGAAACAAAAACCGCGTGGAATGAAGCGACAGCAACAAACCTTTTCTTCACAAAGCTAGCTCTCCAAGCAAGCGGAAGGCTCCGAGTGGAAAAAACCCTAAGGCAGGCAACCACTGACAAAAAGCACCTGGTGTGCCAGGCTGCCTAAAGATGCACACTCCCCTCCGCAGCCTTGGAAGTAGGCATTGCTTCACATCTCAACCCGCTCTACCAAACAACTGTGCTGAAAATGAGCACCCCAGTCTTAGACTGAGACTTGGATTGCTTGCATCAAATCGGAAACCAGGGCCTTCTCGTGAGCCACCTTCTTCTTCTCTGCTTCCGGGAGGCTTGCTCCCTCATTCAACTCACGCGCTAGGTCATCTGCCTTCTTTTTGAGGGCGACCAAGCTGTTGTCGTGCGAGCTCGACTTGCAAAGGACAGGCACGCGAATGCCAATTGTGTTTTGCTGCACACGCTCTGCAACCAAGAAGCCATAGGGAGCGAAGAGGCAATCACCTTGCCCCACAGTGCATGTCCACAAGGTGCACTCCTTCTGGAACTCTTGCAGCACGGAAACGCTCATCGACCTGAAGAAAGCAGACATCTTGCCCACATTTGCAGCGGTGACCCCCTTCCGCTGCATAAAGCCATGCAGCTGCAACATTTCGGTCATCATGACAACCCGCGTCCCTTCAAGGGTGATGCGGCATGTTGCAGTTCCGAGGAACTCTGAAGAGGCTTTGTCATAGCCTACATCAATCCCAAACATCCCCAAAACCAAAGTCGATTTCAAGGCATCACTCCAATTTTCGGCTGGCACCATGACATTGGAATCCTTGAAAAGGCTGGCAATGTAGCTAGTCACTTCCTTCATATTCTCATCTTCAGCAAAGGCCTTGGAAATCCGCGTGCCTTTACTCTTGGCACGGGCCGCGTCAAAGCCATCTTTGAAGCCGTCAACCTCCTTTCTTGAAGACTTCCCATCACCCATAAAGTCTGACACCCAAGTGGCAGCACTCACACAAAAGGGCTTGGACACCTCCAATGTCACACCAGGACCAGGAGCCACACGCGGAATGGCCTTGGCTGCAGCAGCGCCTTGGTCAAACAAAGGATTGGTAGCATTGTTTGCTTCATCGGCCTTCTTGGCCTTTGACGCAGCAGCTTGCTGCTTGGCCTCCCGTTTGGCCAACTGATCAACTGCACTCTTCACAGATTTCTGCGCCCTGGTAGTCGCTGCTAGGAGCTGCGCCAACGGGGAACGAATGGCTGCAATCTCGGCTGTCACCTCCTGGCATCGGACATCATCATCATAACTTTCAAAAAGGGCTTTCTTCCATCAAAAACACGTAGACAAGCTATGGAGTCCCCACATACAGTACACATTCATTTTGACATCTTAACTTACTCTACTTTTCTAAATATACTGCTGCGCAACGACCACACTTGTCCTTCATGTGTGAAGGCTGTGTGCAATGCTTGTATCGCTCCACTGATTCCTCCAGTACTCTGAAAGGCTTGAGCTTCTCATATGCTTCGCACGGGGGCGCCTTTCCTAGCTCCACTGGGTTTGCGCCCACTGCGGCATCAAGCACTTCCTCCGAAGCGGTCACTCCAGCAAAGCGCGCTATGTAAGCTTTGACTTCGTCTTCATCATTCTTTTCCTTGCGTGAATTCAACCGACAAAAGCGGGCAAGGTTGAATTGAAAAGCAAAAGACATTGCAATGGGTTACTCGAAAACTTTTTCATTTCACGCCAACCTTGAACCTTGTCTTGCGTTGGTTGCTAGGCCTGCTACCAAGGGGGAAACAAAAGGACAAAAGTGATTGCATCATAAAACAACTCAGGCTCAATCACCAACGAAAGCGCTTCAACTCGGTTCTCCAGGAGCTTGATCTCACCAGCAAAGGTTTTCTGGAAGTCAGCGTCCTTGGACTGCTGGTACCCCTCTAACTTCTCCTTGCACTCAGAAAGACCCTGTTGACACTTCAGCTTGAACACTTTGATTTGCGCATCGCATGACCTCATGGTAGATGAAACCACCCTGTCCCGATCCACCCAGGGCTTCACTTTCTCAGGCGAGGTCTCACTTTCAGACTTCCCATTCCCATCCACACCATTCTCTTCATCTGGATTCTGGTCCTTGACCTTTTCTGCAATCTGAGCAAGCTCCATCACGTCCACAAGGAACCCATCTTGGCCTTGGAAGGCAGCCTCTCCATTGCGCACGATGGCCTGGCAAATCTGGATCTGGTCAGCGATGGGATCATGCTTGGAAGTCACCTTTTTCTTAAGGCGGTCAACATCTTCTTGGCTGCCATTCTTCTTGGATTCCCCGTCCATGGTGACAGCTTTCTCCTGCAAATAGCTAGTTCTGAACCTGACCTCGTCCCCGGTATGAATCCAAAACCTCAAAGAACCATTCTCTCCCATATGATCAAAGAAAAGGTCCTTGTCACCAGCTTCGAGCCTTGACTCCCACTCAGCCCATTGAGCAGCAGCTTGGTCATCTGTCTTCCTTCCCCCTCTGATGGTTTGAGCAAATTCGAGGTACAATTTCTTCCCCATCATCTCCCCAACCTTGTCCTTGACAAAGCCGCTTGCAGCCACAATGCGCTCTTGGTACTTGACAATGCTCCAAGAACCTCTCTTCTTGTTTTTGGCCGCGCCTGGCTCACACTCGGGGCAAACCTCAAAGTAGGACTGCACCATTGCAAAGCATTTGTCAGGGTCTTCACGCTGCTCCCTGACAAACTTCACTGCTTGCTCACCCTGTCTTGAAGCTAGCTTCGTGATGTTGTCTAGTGCCCTTTTGCAAGGGACGCAGCCTGGGAAATTGGTCGCTTGCTGCTCAGCACTGATCTTTTTCTTGCAACCTTTGCAAGACTGAACACCGTGCTTGGCCCGCTTTTTTGGTTGAGGCTTGGCTTGAAGCGCCTGCTTGTCAGTACCCTCCGCCTCATCAGCACAGCGCTTTTTGGGTCTGCCTCTTTTGGTACCCGTTGGTTTCGAATCGGGCTCGGCACATGCGGCCCTTATCTCCTCATCGATTGAATCAGGAACCTGGGAGCTGAGATCAACATCCATTCCGGCCACTGGCCAAAACAAGGCTCAGGAGTCGGCAACTTCTGGTTTGAGCACTGCGCTGTTGTAGGAAGCGCACATGTCTTCTTGACTTCGGCGAAACAAAAAAGAAACAAGCTTGGAAACAATCAGCCTCAAGGAGAATCGTAAGTCCATTCCAAACTGAACTGTGGAAACATCTGAGGACAGCGCACTGTCTTCTCCAAGAGCTTCTGCCTGCAAACACACGACATCTCCACATGGTTTGACTCTTCTATTGAAAGGCTTGGGCGCGAAGCAAGGATTGTCACAGGCATCTGGAGCAATGCGGACATGTAAACTGCTCAGGTGGAAGAAGTAAACGACCAACTATTTGTTACCAAACACGGGATACTGAGGAAGCAGGTTTGGGGCCTGGCTTCAAAGCTTTGCTTGAACGCTCTTTCTTTTCTTGCCTCACCCCATCGGCATCACTGAGAATCTGCGCCACACAGCCAGCCAGTCAAAATCACACGGTGGTAAAACAAAAATGGTACCTAACCATTCAGAAAACACACAACCTGTTGGCAAAACACACTTCTTCCAACGTCCGCACTAGCTGGCGCAAGTTAGCTATGGCTATGACAGTCACCGTGGCTTTGTCATGGCCAAACAATAAGCCAAAAAGCTGCCGACAACTCGACAGTGCATTTGGTTTCCTGTCATCTTCACAATCTCTGAGCTGCGGAACTTTGACAAGTACTCGAGGGTCCAAGGCGAATCGATGGGATTCTCCGCCAGCCCTGAAATTGGCCAACCCATTGCCACCATCATCTCAAGAGGAAGCATCATCCTGCCGTGCCATTGGGACCAAATGCATGACTGACATAAGAAGGAAGGAAGGTTGGTACTCAGCCGCTGCCTCACACACACATTTTGGGACAGGTCAACCACGCCAACCATCTTCCTTGTCAGTATGTCCGGGCTGCCCAGCAACCTCTGGTAGTCCTCGAGGCGGAGCTTGGACCCTACATCAAGGGCAATGTCCATGGGGAGAACGGCACCAGGATCACATAGAACACCTTTCACTTTCAGCAGCTTTGCACGCAAGTGGTCTTGGATCATCCACTGAGGCGCGATGAAGAAAGAATGGCCATCAAGACATGGTGAGGAGGAGCAGCATTGCAAGAAGTTCTCTCTGTTGATTGGCTTCTCCAACTCCACAGTCTCGGTGTTGATGGTCCACGAGTAGTTGCGCCACCGAATCATTGGCACTCCCACATCTTCACATTTGAGCTTGACCACATGCGTCCTGAACTCCGGTGGTGGGAATGCGCATCTGAAGGCCTCCTCTGTGTTGAAGAAGGAGGAGCATTCCTGCAACACAAAGTCCACAGCCCGGTGCCTTGTGCGGGCAAGCCACATTGCAGCGACAACTCCTGAACGGTGGAGCCATCGCCCATGGCACCCCTGCGGGCTAAAGGCCACACAGGTGTTGCCACCTGCTTCAAGCACTTTGTCGCCTTCTTGAATTTCGGGAAAGAATGGGCACATGGTACAGTGTTTGTAACAGTATCCGTGCGCGTGGACCTTGTTGCTCTTACAAGCCTCTGCTGCCACATGAATCAACTTCTCCATGCAGCGTCGGTTGGCTTGCTCAAGCGCTACCTTCAAGGCCTTGCCGGAAACACCCTGGTCTTTAAGCTCTCCTGCCCTCTTTGCCATGACCCAACATACCCACTCCATTCGCTCAACCACACTTGCATCAAACTGCGCGCAAAGGTCACCAAAGATGTGGTTGGGGCAATGCTTGGAATGAAGGAGCAATTCTCGGGCTGCTGAGTCAATCTCGTGCGCTGAGTGGAAGCAAGGTGAAGGGCAATGAAAAGTCTTCGCCAACCTCTCGATGCAATGCTCCACTGTTCCCAAGCCTGTGTAGTGGGTTGTCACAAAGAGCTTGGGGCCCACCGGGATGGCTTGCATGTCAAACCAATCTCTCAGGTTTGACTCGGCTTCAAGCTCATGACAGGCGTCAACCATAGTATCGGCTACCTGGCTTGGCCAAGCCAACAGCTCCTGCATGTGACATGGCTCATCATCGAAAGCCTCCGTACCCATCCGCTCGAATCGAGCGCGCTTAGCTTGAGGTTCTTCTAGGGAACCACCATCAGCGGGCACGCTTGCTTCTGCCATGCCTGCAAGAGCACCTGGCTACCTAGAAAAAACCTTCACTTCAAAAGGCCCTTCTCCAAACCAATGGCTTCGTGGCCGACAAACTCTTCACAAACTCAAGGTGGGACGACGGAAGGTTCCAGCAAGAGAGGCCATAGATAGATGATCGCGCAAGAAGTTGAGAAGTGGCAGTGCAGAAGTACAATCGGAAGCACATGTCAAAAGTTCAAGAACGATCTCAGTTTCTCGACAAAAACATGGAACCAACTCACACCACGGAAAGCTCATCGAAACACACAGCTGTCAAGCGCACAAAGCTTCAAAAGTTGCTGAGCAAAATCGAAAAGTGAGAAAAAGAAGCGAATCTGTGCAACTCGGCCTGTTAAAAAATATCTATATAAACAATATATACAAAACGATAGTTTTAAACAAAGTAGTCATGGGAGTGCCCAAAACTTATGTTTTAGACCAACAAACGTGTCGCGCACGTGTCGCTCATGTGTCGCTCGGTGTCGCTCGCAGGTGCCTGAGGTGTCGCGCATGTGTCGCTCAAGTGTCGCTCTGTGTCGCGGGCGTTCATAAAAATTCAGAAAATGCACAAAATTACGGTCTATCCACCAAAAATGGATGCGACACCGTAAAGAATTTGATTGTTATTTTTTGCACTGAAACTCTCACAATTCTGCAAGCTTTGCGTTGAGAACCTGGCCTCCTCCCAGAACGGTAGACCGTTGAAGTGATTGGTCTAATGTGAACCTGCGCCAGCCATCGGAAGGAGATGGCATTGAACATATGTGTTTCATTTCAACTGTCAGGCTGCCCTGCTTGGAACGCGCCCTTACAAATATGGGGTTCTCTGTTGAAACTCCATTGGGGAAAGCCTTTGCAGCAACAACTCTTGTAAAAGTCTGACACGCCTGGGGCACGTAGCCACAAATCTCCAAAGCCAGACCTGCCAGGCGCACGCTAGACTTCATAGACCCCCGGCCGCGCATGCTCTTTGTGAGTTTGGCAAGCTTCGCGAATGTGTCTGGAACCCTTCCCCCAAAACTTGAGGCCAATGACAAAGAAAGGATGATGTTCTTTTGGTTGGAGTCTGCTTGATCAAAAGGTTTCAGGCCTCCCATACATTGAGCAGCCACAAGGCCAGATCGATTGCCAAACCAGAGCCTGGAAGGGAAAACGCGCAATAAACTTTCGATACAACTGACATTCAAAAAGCCTCCCAAGTACATCAGGATTCGTTTCCTGAGTCCCTGTTTTTTTAAAAAAAATGTGGACTCAGGATGCATATATGTTTAGCAATGTGAACCCGGTCATGCTCACTTCAGTCTCTGTGCATGTTTGAGTAAAATGTGATTGCAGGTTCCCTACCATAAGAGCCACGACATCATCACCAATAAGTGCACATGTTTCTGCAACAAATATAGGGGCCCTTTCTTGTCCCTCACTGCAAACAAATGTCTTGCCTGCCATCAATCAGAGCCCGAAGAGGTTGCGGAATTCGAAGCCTTGCCAGACCCTGAGGAAGAAGGTGATGAAGATGTTGACGAACTGTCGGACTGGCCCGAACCCTCAGGTTCAGGCGCGGGTTTTGCCTTTGCTGTGTTTGGCTTGGAACAACTAGCTTTGGCTTTTCCCTTAGGCTTTGGCTTTGCTTTGCTCGATTTGGCTTTAGGCTGCTTGCTACCTTTCTTCGAATCTTTCTTGTCAAGACCCTTCGAAAGCTTTTTCAACGGCTTAGCACTGCTAGCTACCTCTGCATCTAGTTCCTCATCAGTCTTAATTAGGGCTGGAGGGTTTTCTGTCAACTCCTGAGCTAAGACAATGGACTCTGGTGGACAATCACCTGGGGACAATGGCATGCGAATGTGGCTTCTCTGGCGGTCGAACTTGCACGCTTGGTTGCACCAATGCTTCAAAAGAAGAATGCATTGATTTCGGGCCTCAGGAGTGCTATCTGTAAACCTCACAAAGCGCTTGCAACCAGTTACCAAACTCTTCTTGTGCCACCTACACGTAACCTCAATGCCTCCACAGGGTGGGGCAGATCGCGCCTGCTTCACTGAAAATGAAAAGGACCCATACTTCGCAACACCTCCTACAAACAAAGCTGACTCTAGTGCAGCAGTCTTGCTAGACACAGCCTTGGCAGCTGATTCGGGAAAGGAACTTGAAGAAGGAACTGGCTTTGTTGCCTCACCACTCTCCCTGTTCACAGCAACTTCGAAGGCCTTCTCCTCATGGACACCTGCTTCGTCAGGAGCAAGTGGAGTGGTTGTTTGACTCCTGTCAACTTGAGTGCTGTCCATTAACCTCCTACTGGAAAACCTTGGAACATCTTCGGCTTCAAGCACCACATCTGCATCAAACAAACCACTATCAACATTACTTCCTATTCCTAGTTTTCTTTTTGCTTGCGAAGTCTTGCGAAGAGCATCTTTCGGAACAGTGCCAGCAAAAACCATTTCATAAGCTTCACCAGGCATTCCATGAGGGATCTCTTGGATCCCATGGGCATTGGCAAGCCTGTCAGCATCTAACAGACACATCATATAGAACCTGGAAACAGTCACCCCTGAAGTATACCAGGTTTGTTCCTCACCAATCTTGTAGACCCGCTCTTTCTGCTGCTTTACTGGCATGAGGGACCATTCCCAACCCTTGGACCGCATCTGAACGAAAAGTTGCAAATCGGACAAGTCAGCTAAGGCACCAATACCCACTTTACAAAGACACAGTGGTGATTCTAAGCTGCGAAGAAATTCCATGCGCTGGATGGCTGAAGCCGTGAGCAAGTAACCACCATCTGACATCTCCTGAGCAAAGCGGTAAGAAACCAAAGTCTGCATGGAAGGGATGTGCGCAGGAGAAGGCACGAAGCTTTGGCTGGCCTTGGGCAAGGCACCGTGCTGGATCATGTGACTGAGCAATTTGGAAACATCACCACCCATCAACGGCAACACATATTGGACGCTCCCACACTTAGACCACTGCTTAAGACATTGGAAGAACTTGTCTATGCCAAGTGACTGGACAACTGACAGCATTGACAAAGTCTCTGCTTTCCCAAGACAAATTGCAGAAACAACTGGTCTTGCGGGAGTGCCCCTGTTCTCACACACGGTTGTGACAAGATCATTCCTGTCGAAATCTTTCATAGTGCATGGTGCATGGGCCGGACGCTTGATAAGCGAAGGTTGCAACAACACTGGGGTAAACAACTTCAAGCGCTGGTCGCTTGGTGCCTCAATTGAAAACACACTGCCTGGGTCACGCCAAGCAATGTCACGAAGACAATCAGTGGCCAAATTGGCAACAATCAGTTCTTGTGTCACCTCTTTTCTTTTTGGTTTCAACTTGTCTTGCGCAAGCCCTACTTTCTTGGATTCTTGGTTGTGGATACTTTCAGCTTCTTGATTTGTAGCAAACTGCATTCTGGAATCCCGGTAGAGCGCCTGCCTGGCAAAGGCGAAAAATGCATGCTTGTCTTTGCTGCGGCCTATCTTGATCAAATCTGGGTGATTCCTATGGCAGGGAAACATCTCGGCAAACTTTGCAAGCTGGCGGGCTTCCGAAAACGCTTCAACAAGCATTGGAAAGGCATGGGGATCCATAGCAAGATGCTTGTTCAGCTCAGGCATTCTCATGTTGAGCGACAACCAAGTCACGCTAAAGTTCTTTGGCCTTGTCTGTCCTAGGTCCTTATGGGCTGCCTCGATCAAACGCTCAGCCACCTGTACAAAAGTAAAGGGGGCCAAGAATGCCTCTAAGGCAGGAAAGTCTTCCAGCACTTGGTCGGATGATGAAATGAAACTGGCAAGCTCTTGTGTCAAAGTTTCTTGTTCGCCATCAAAAAGATTCCTAGCAATTGGATGCTGAGCTTCGCGCGCATTGGATGGCAAATCATCCCACAACTTCTTAGCTTTGGCCAAGGCCTTGCGAGCCACATCTGGCATTGGGTGACACCCCCCAAACACGATCCACGGCAAGTGCGAAAAGAAACTCAGCCTAGCTTTCACTTCTTCAAGAACAACTTTCGAACCATGTTGCCATTCTGCAAGCAAACTTGACCATTGCTCTGAAGTCAGCCGCTCCTGACAATTACTCATGAACTCTTGGCAAGTTGAATCAAGTTTCCGCTCAAAATCTGAGAAGTTATCAGCAGCAAGAAATGGAGCCTGACATCCTGCCATGGGACATCGACAAGGAATTCCTGCTGGGCAAACGATCTCAGCTTTCAAGACATGTTCGAAGCTGACTTCACTTTCATGTTCATTCATGAAGCTTTCAACCAAACTACCCCCATGACAACTGCACCCCTCTGCCCACGATGTGAAGTGGAGCAATTGCTTGCGAATGGCCAGCTGCATGCGCCAAAAAGCCAGGAAGTAGCTGTCTTGGACGATGATTGTGAGCTCTTTGGGGGACCACCCATCTTTCATGCAAGCGTCACTGGGCCCATCATCGTCAGCGTTGCGTAAGAAGCGAACATCATCCCAGTGAGTCCTCAAAAACAACAGAAGGGGAAGCGACTCTTCCAAACAAATGGCCGCAATGTTCCAACGTTCAGTGTAGATAGAAGTCAACCTGCGCAAAAACAGCTCTTTGGCACGCTCATAATGCAAAGTACCCCGCATGACAACCTCCACAAACCTATTGCAACAAGGAGGGCTGCCAAGAAACTGGTATAAGGACTTGAGTTTGCCCAAAAAATCTTCAAACCCATGGAAGGCAGAATTCAATCTTCCAGTTGCATTGTGTATGGCATGACATATCCCTGGCACAGAGATTGCCTGCGGCATGAGGGGTGAACTTTTGCAATTGGCAGATTCTAGGTTAACCAATACTCCATCTTCAAAATGATCATCGTCTGGTTCGTGGACATTCACACGGGACGGCTGCAACCAGGCTGGCATCACCTTCTCCGCGCTCAACACATGAAAGCTTGGCAACGCAGACTCAACGCCCATGTCAGAACACCAACAAATGTGATTTGCAAAGCTTTCATCAAGGGCATCGAGGCTGCTGCTTTCTAGCAAGCTTGCGTGCACATGCGCAGAAACTTTGTCAACCAAGGCAGTCTTTCTGTTGCCCAGCAGCTGGGGAACCAGTGTGTGCAGGTGGATGGACTTGAACAAGAGGGAGGAATACTCTTTACGCTTCTCCTCAACATCACACTCCATGGTTCTTGTATGAGGGTGCTTGCATAGGAAACGCCAAGCCCGGCCAAGCTGTACACAATCTGATTTCCGCATCCACCGGTACCTAGCATTGTAGATCTGCAGGTTCCATTTGTCAGCTGCGTCCCCCCATGCAAATTTGAGGATCTCACCACTCTCTGACAGCCGCCTCCTGTGAAGAAGTTGCAACGCTATGTCCAGCATCAGCTCACTCCGTACAAGGGTCGAGCCACTTGCAACTTTAGCAGACACCCAACTGTGAAGGAAAGGCTGCAGTGCATGTGGCAACATGCCAACAAATTTCTTTGCATGATCTTGAAGTAACCTCCTGTTTCGTAAGTCCAAGCTGGCAAGAACTTGTTGAACCAAAGAGTCTGAAGGGAACTTTACTCCTTGAATCTTTGGGGCGCTGGGGTATCTCAAGACCTGCAAAGAATACATGTGATTCCTCAAACATCGCAAAAGATGGTTCACTTCGAATGTCCAACCACGTGCAACATCTTCATCCAAAGTGGCACCTACAATTTGCTGGCCTAGGTTTCTGAGGCACGAATACAGCTTTTGTGCGTCACCACATGTCATGACTTCTTCCTTGATTGCAGGCTCAACCCTCTCCTGGCAGGACAGAACAATTGATTTCAACCATTGTTCAGGCAAACCCGCTGTCAATGGTGGGCAAGATGGATGCGTCCACCGTGCCAACACAGGGAATTGGCGACACGCTCCGCACAACAAAGAAAACAACAGTCGCGCTGGCAAACACAAAACATAACATTTCTTGAGGTCCTGGGCTGCCTCACTGTCCAACCCGATGGCTTGTCCTAGTGGCATGAACCCTTTATGCTCACTGGCAGGCTGGAAAACGTTCAAGTTTGCAACTGCCTTGTTGGAAGCTACAGCGTGTCCAACGCACCAGTCCATAATGAGGTACACTGGCGATTTTTTATGACTCACACCTGAAACAAGGCATTCAGTCCAACGAACCCGTGACCCCTTTTTTGAATGGTGCAGGCGTGGGAAAGCCACACGGCTCAAACAAGGTTTTTCTTCCCATGGTGGAAAAGCAAATGCATCTTGTACTGTCATGTTGTAAGAGTCTAAAGCTTCCCCGTGCAATGCATACTTGTACCCAAGGCATTCATCGGACCAACCCTGCGACAATTCGTTCTGGAAAGGGCTTTGCGGTCTGACCAAAGCCACACCCCGCAAGACCAACTGAGACTGCTGCTCTGGGACCGAGAAGTTGAAAGTTTCAGCAAAAGTGCTGTGTTGTTTCTTCAATGCTTCGAACTGACCCTGCTCATTCTGCAGCAGCAAATTGACTGCCTGGTGTTGCAACTTTGTTTTCTTGGAACCTTGCCAATCCTCTTGGCAAGCCAGAAACACCCAAGAGCAGCGATCAGGCATGGCTCATACATGGCAAACTACGTGTTACACGGAAAGACCAGTAGTTAGGTAGTATGAGACATCTACTGAAATCGCAGCTGTTTGTTGTCCTGCAGGAAACTTTCTCCAAGGCGTCATGCGTAAAGTTAAAACAGTGCTTGTCAAGAACAGATCTACACGGCCCTTGTTGAGAAAAAGGAAACGCATGCAAGAGGCACGAAGCGGCTCGAACGAGAACTCGAAAAGGAAAAACCATCGCAAAGCTAAAAACACCTCACTCACACTGTCGTTTGAATCCAAACATGGCCAATGGCCACACCTTCAACATTCACTTGACTTATCCAAGAAACATGGCGCTCTCCTCGCACCGCATCTGCACTGAAAAACGCGCGCAAAGATATCCCCACAAACGTTGCTTATTGACCTGCGCGCTATGCGTTCAAAAAACATCACCTCCAAACTTGTTTACAAGTGGTCAAGTGGCATACAACTATTTTTTGCCTCGGGCAACGCGACCTGCTGGACTCAGCAAGTATTGCAAAAGCAAAACCCCCTGATTTTTCCTTCCCGCAGCAATTGCGCACGGTAACAATGTCAAACCAAGCAGAGGTGACACTGAGAGCGACCCACAGTCACCTTTTACCACTTGCACCATGCAAGTCTGAGCAGGCAAGCACTTCGCTGCAATCCTACAGGCAGAAGCCAATTGAAGCAACTAGAAGCAAAGCAATCATGTCCAGAGAAGGAATACTGCCAAATGGTGGTGCCCAAACTGGAAACGGGGATTTTCATAACCCCGTCCATTCACCACCAAAAACTCCACAATGGGTGGTGTATAAAACACTCAGCACTGAAAACCTGCGAATGCCAAGTCACCTCCTCTTCTCGCGGCCGATCGCTCGGCTGATCCGACCGCTCGGCCCCTCGGCCCGCGCCCGCGCCGCCGGCGGCCGCTTTTTTGGGCACTTCGGGGAGCAGAATCGATTGCTGCTCCTGAGGCGTTGAGGGGGCCGTGCCGGTCTTTCCAAGAGATCTCACATGAAAATGAACACCTTGGCACCAGCTGATTGGCCTGGACTCCGGGCCAACAACAGGTCAGTGAGCTCTTTTCATTATCCATTGTGCTTTGCAATGACAAAAGGGAACATAGCTCATAGGTTTTGGCATTATATAGATATATCTATTTATTTAAATATATATATATACACACACGTATAATAAGTCCATTCTTATAGAGATGATGGCACTTGCACATCCGTCCAATCACTGAGATCCCTGTCACCCACAAAGTGGGTTTTGTCGCCATCTACTCGGGTCCTAAGCCACTGCTCCAATAATAAGGTCCTTCAGTGCATCTAATCCTCCAAATCTCACTTATGTTCCGGATACATGCCAGGACCTGACTTTTTTGGGACCCAAACAGGTGGTTTCTGGGCACCTTTACCAGGAAACACCTGTTGGAGGAGGGTGCTGGTATAGCCATCTAGTCAATAGTTTTCCTACAACTCCTGGGCCCAAAACCTTGGAGAAAGCACGAGAAAGCAGTTTAATATCCAAATGGAACCCATGGAGAGAGAAATGGCAGTTTCCCTAATAAACATGACGCAACATATATTAAGCATATAATGATACATAATGTAATAGAGATTGATAGAGACGCTTGATTAATAAACCACCCATATGAAGAGAATTTCCATTTTGAATCAGGGGGGTACTAATGCTCGAAACACCTTCTTGCCGGGCGACGAGGTTGTCGCATCTACGGGTCAACCACATGACCCCCCAAAAAACAGGCTATAATGTAGACTCTTGATTACAAAACCCACCCCAATTGGATTGGGGGGGCTGAATAATCAAGAGTCTACACTTCATTACACATGGACACTTATCATCACTTCTCACCTGTGTTCACCTGTTTACCAACCTTCACCTGCTTACCTCACTCACTGTCCTTCTCGCCGAGGCTCGAGTTCTTGCCAAAGACCCGCCACGTCAGAATTCGCAGGTAGGATCCCTTGAATCAAGACCTGCAGCTCCTGAACCAAAACCCTAACCAAATAACTCACTGTATCTTCCAAACTGCCACACTCCCCGAAGATGATGACACAAAAGGTTGTCGAACGTTCCGCGTCCCTGGCGAAACAAAAGCACGGCGATTGGTACGGCAAGTGTAGTATAGATCTTGGGTTTTTACTATGAAAAGGATATTGCACTACCCACACACTCCCAATTGCAGCCACTCAAATACCCTTGGAGTGGATGATTGCACGCAATCGAGAGATGTTACTAAAGTACTTTGATCATTGGTCCACTCCTTATTGGGCACACAAACATGCTTCAACCGGCGGTGACTTCCGCAAATGGCAAACCTAAACTTATATAACACCAAGCCAACCTGTGAAGCAGCGGATCCATGCAACATCATACAACCAACCACTGTGTTGGACTCCAAAACACCAAAAACTATTCCAAACCTGGGGGGCCGACGTGGGGGAGTCCGAGCACTCTAGCGTCAGAGTAAGACCAGCGTGTTTCCTAACATTCGCCAGGGCGGCCCTTTCTTAAAACAACCACAACGACACGTTGCACTTTGTTCGCAAAAGGCGTGTTTATGCGTGCTTGCTCTCTCTCTATATATATATATACTGTAAGACCCTTCCAAACAACAAAGGACGGATCTTGGCATGATCAAACCACAACAACAAAACCATCACATCCGTCCTTGATGCCCCCATGAGAACCCCCACATCATCCAGTCTACAACGTCCCATGACTTCTTCTTCACACACGCGCTTCGCAGTGTGGAAAACACCCGGTGTCCTGGAGGTTCAGTTGGTCATCGACCGACATGTCCACCACCTCGTCCGGCCCCACCACGCTGAAGCCCCCAGCCGTCAGCACCTTGTTTCTCGCTCCGCTTCGGAGCGAATAGGGGTGCTGGAATTTGGGATCATCCAATACATCTCAAGGGTCTTGCAATGTATTGCACCACATACATATCAATAGCAATCAGTGATATGAAACATGCAAACCAAGGCCTTCCAAACCTGATGCTGCATAACATTGCATAACATTGCATAAGTATTAACTATGTTGTGACTGTGTGCCAGCAAAAGGCTGCTCTCTTCTGTGTGAACAAGATCAAAACAATGCTAACATGTACAGAGGCAAAGTGGGGCTCCGAACCACCCAACATAATGCTTAACTGTTTGTTCCTCCATTTTTTCTTCTTTGGCGAAGTGCCAAGGTAGCCTCAAACCTCCGCGCATGGGCGATGATAAAGCCTGAAACCACAGCAAATTTAACCCCCTGTGGGACATAGATAATTGCCCCTGGCCAAAACATAGTGTTTGTGCATCTTCAACTCATTTCAACTCGCTGAGTGCTGACGATTTCACCAGTTGAGCCAACCAAATCACCTCCACATCGCCCAGTCAAACCCCACGCCTGCATGGACGTCTCCTCCTCAGGTCTGGGTGAGCTCATCGCTTGTGAGGACTCCGAACGTCCCTGGCGTTCGGACCCACTCCGCTGCGTTCGATCCGCCGGCCAGCGCCGTGTCCGGCCGCCAGGACCCACCAGGGAGCCGAGCAAGCAAGGCAAGGACTTAGAAAGGTCCGGTTGAGCCTTTATAGTCACCATGGTTAAACGATGGTCACAGAAAAGGGGTACCATCCAAGAAGCCATGCTTTGTTGGGTAACAAGCAGTGGATATGAGCTAGCGGAACTTTCCGTGACCAGCCTCGAGAACGACTTTAAACAAGTGGTGGAGCTAGTGGAAGTGTAGTGTGCCGCTAGTCAGAACGGTCATGTGTAGGGTGAATGGAGCCTGACCGTTCTGAATGTATGAAAACACTTGATCGATGGATTCACAGATCCTTTTCTCCAAACACACAGTATTTCTGTCACAATGAGCCTGTTTCCAAACACTCGAGAAGAGAACCTCCAGCACCTTCAATGGCATGTCTTTCAAGACATTCATCCCCCCACCTTCGTTGACTCTGACAAGGATCAGTTGGAGGTGTTGGATAACACCTTCTGCTTGAAGGGGAACTCCGATCGATTTGGTACCCCAAAAAATGTGTGGGCTTGACAGGGCCTTGGGGTCAATTAGAATGTGACTGATCCACACTGGATGGGTCTCAAACCACCCCTTTGGTGACTGTTTTTTTGACAAAGCCCCCTTGTCAAGGCCTCCTCGACGTCCACATTCGACAAGGACTGTGAGGAAGTTCCTGAGACGTCATCGCTTGGAGGACGCCGAGCTGGGATGTACCGGTCGCTTTCATTTTTTCTCCTTCTCCGGGGCCAAGGCTATACATGCAAAAGGATCTCAGCCCGAACCACTCGTTGATCTGAAGCCAATACAGAATTTCAAAACGATGTAAAACGCATGGTCTCAAAAGGAACCAAAAAATATCAAAAATTCATTGTAAAATTACATTTGGCCTTTGTCCTCCCATCTCCGTAGGAACTGGTGGATGAACTGACCATACCTCAAATCCAGAGTGCAAACCTGGATTTGGCGCTGATATCCTCAAACACATTACTCATGGTTGGGTTCTACTTCAAGTTTATCTGCTGAAGCATTCTTAGGGTAGATGCGTCCCTTACTTATTCTTTCTGAGCTCTACATATAAGCACCACCCTTGCTGGCCCCATTATCTTCCATCTGGCGCTTCCCCTTAGACTCTGGAAGGGTATCACTTAGTGTCACGTCCTCGAGGCAAGCATAGCTTCAGCTCTGAGCTCCGAAACTCAATCTACAAGGCATCTGTATCCGTTGATTCTTTCGGGATCATGTACCAATATCTCGGGCGCCCTTTCCATCGGCATCACGATCTCCGACGATCAGATCGTGATCAGCCCAAGGCTCTGAAAGTAAAGCTGGAATTTAAAACCTGCGAAGCTGCGAAGACGAGGCTGGAAGCTCGGCGCAAGCTGGACGGAAAGGAACCAATGCCCTGGGGCCTGGGGCAGGTGCTTTGAATGAAACCAGTTCATCAGTCCAAAAACCCTGCTGGTGTTTCGTCGCCTCAGGTTCCCAAGTGATGGGCGAGAGCGAGTGAATGGACAATAGGAACCCTTAGCGTCCCAGACTCATTCTGCCTCTCGAACCCCTCAAAGTCAAAAAAAGCCGCGGGCCTGGGTCTTCTTGTGCGTCTGCGTTCGCAAGGTAAAGTCCTCGCAAGGTCGTGCGGCACTCAAATGTCCAAGAAGTGTTACATACATACTATATATAGACTAAACTAAACTGCCACATAGACTCAAACATAACTTTTGGGGCTGGCACCAATACAAACCAAATTCAAAAGGTTTCGTCGCGAGTGTCCGGCAAGGTGTAGGACAAGGGCTCCGAAAAGAACTCGAGCTTCTCGTTGAAGGCCTCACCCAGCTGCGCTTGCTTTTTTTCTACGCCATTGCCACATCCAAGGTTTTAGGACTAGAGTCTAGAGAGGTTCATCTGGTCTTGAAGATCTTTCTCATATTTCAAGCGGCTCGTCTAAGCAGTATTTGAAGGCTCGTCTAACCAGTGGCTCGTCTCACCTTGAAAAACAAGTGGCTCATGGAGTCCTGCTAGGACCCGAAAGGACGAGCAATGGGGCATCGTTCCCGCAGTCCAGTCAACTGGATGGCCTTTTTGGGATGGCCACCATGAAGCGGGCGTGACTATGTGTCTAGTGCGCTGGGTGAACCTGTTTGGGGCTAGAAGAGTTCAAAACACATCGGTGGATGGAGGGTAAAGAAGATCAGGCCAAGTGGTCTGGGGGAAACATGCATGACATGCCAAAACTGAAGGAGTGGTGGAGGCAAGACTCATCTAGCAACTATGAGTCAGTTTCATACGGTGACGTCATCGACAGTTCATGGTAATTATCTTTTCTTCATGTTCAACCATTTCAACATCTGCCCCGCAACCGACCTTGAGTCATTGCTCACCACACCACCCACGACAACCGAAATCCATACGACCAACACCTCTCATCGCGGGCCTTTTGCATTTCTCGCACGGGCAAGTCGTTGGCATCCTCTCCGAAAGGCTGATCGATCTCCTGGCAGCAGCCAACACTCTCCCAGCCGCCCGCGTCGCGAGGTTTTTGGCTGCGCACCGTGTGGAGAAGGATCTCTAGAGTGGAGAAAGCTGAGGTGAAGCTGGATGGAGAACATGGCGGAGTCCGGAGTCCAAAACATGTGAGAAATGTTCAAGCTAACACTCCCACTCAGGTTCCATATGGAAGCACCCCCTGTTCATAGAGCTATATGGTCTTCTGGCCTGTTTGCCACTTCCATGTTAGTGACTCAGAGTGTACTGCACCTGTAACAACACATGCACGTATGTTCATGTATTTCCAGGGTTTTCAAATCGGACCGGCCTGGGCGATGTAGAACAAGGTCCAAAAAGAGGTTGACACCACAAAGACAATGATCCCGGCCTTGGCAGAGATCTCGGAAAAGACCGTGCATCACTGTGCATCCATTTGAGGCTTCTAAGATCTATATAGAATCTATAAGCTTGTAAAATCACATGGAACACACAAGAATCATGTGGGTGGAATATGGTGGAATGAATCATGGGGCTCTCAAAGCATATGGCTTTGGCTTGCTTGGAATCGCACTTCCGGCGGCAGGTGGGTTCCAAAGCAACATCCGCAGTCTGTACGTCCGGCGGCTACACTCAAGTGGTGCAAAAATGAGTCATGTGATTCATGGACAACTCAACTTCCTCTACCTGGGTTCCTCACCCTAACCTGCAAGAGTGGCTTCTGTGTCTTTGCATGTCTTGGGTCATAGGCATGGTGTAGTTGTAGTCGTGGTGCTCACATAAACACATGTGTTATTTGGAGAAAACCGAACTGATCAGCATCTTGAGGGGATTGGAGTTGCCCAAATACTTCGAGAATCTTCGAGATCTGGGCGGTACTTCTTAGACTGGTGTAGCTTCTGTCCCGAAGCAAAACAGACTCGCTCACTCGTTGAGCACATGGTATCCTGAAGTCTCACAACATCCCGTAGCACCTGAGATCCAGAGGTTGACTCTGTGCCTCACTTGGTTAAGTAACCACACCTCGGAAGGGCTTGAGATGGCCTCAGGGACCAATCTCTTGGGATTCGCCAACATCAAACGACTCCGCAGCAAACCTCATCTGCCAGCGGTCACAAGGGATGGTGTTGAGTCCCATCCAGTGAGTAGATCATGGGCACCACTGACCTCCATGGATCGCACCACGTTGAAACGCCTGGTGTTTTCTTTGAGCACCACCAATTCCCAACCCCTGTCCACCCCCCCCTTTCATGCCAGGGAGCCCACCAGGGCCTTACGACTAGATGGCAAGCCACCACGGGTGTCATGATCCAATGGGCAATGAGCATCAAGGACAAATACTGCGAGTACGGAAATGGGAAGGGCACCTCGATCGCCCGGCCGAGAGATGATGCGGAGCATCGATGGTCATCGTCTCTTCGTCGCTGAGTACACACGTGCTGATCGTGCTGGGTACACAGCGTGAGCGTGGTGGGATGCTTTGCGGTCAAATGAAACCCAGCGTGGAAACCTGACCTTGGAGGAAAGACAACCACAGTGAGCCCGCGGTGGGGCAGGTGATAACTAACCTGGGTGTGGCCTACCAGGTGAACCGAATCCGAGTGGATGCATCCCGAAATTCTAGTTGGCAAAATCCAATAATTCTAGTACTTAGTACAAACATCTTGCGCTCCTGCTTAATCTTTCAGTCTTTCATAGAAAGACCACTCTCCAGCTCCGAGGAATACGATTTTCATCCCCCCCCCACAACTGCTCCCCATGTCAGAAATATCCTCAGCACCACCTGTAGGTCTCCATCCCTTCCATATATCAGTCTGGTCTTCGATCGCCGCGGGCGTCGGCCGTACCGCGGCACCATGCGGATCTTCCGCACGTTGGTGACGCCGACCATGCCGCGGGAGAGCTCTTGGAAGGCCCGCGACAAAATGGGCGGGGGTACTTCAAAGAGATTCCTCAGTGGATTTTCACTGGAGGCAGGCGCAGTTGGGGGGCAGAGATGGAGGTAAGGATGCAGGCAACTTGGCAAACACATGCATGGATGTTGGATGATTTTGGTGTGTGGAGCGGGAGCCTGCAAAAATCATGATCAGGGAATGAGATGTGCTTTACACAAAAAATGGGTGCACACATCTTCTACGAACCTCAAGAAGGTGGTGGAAGATTTACAGTACTGTATTTCAACTGGATTGAAGTGCTTGATGGTGCTTGGGTCTCATGGAAAGTGAGCACCCGAAAGTGACATGTTGTTCAACCAGTGGCTTAGAGGAACAAAGTCAGACTTGTAGATGGGGAAAACATGGGAAAACTAGATAGCTGACAAGTACATAACCTAGCGAAGCCCTCCCATCCTCGCAAAAAACTATCAAACAAAAAAACGTCCAACAAAGCCATACCCTCCTGCAAAATGAACCTGGACCCACCAAAACCGTGTTGATCTGCATTATCTACGGCAAATTGGTCGAATCCACGAAACAACTTTGGGGATCCATCTTTCGCCTGCAGGGGAGATGTTACCTTTCCCCTTTTTATTCCTTAGCCCTTGGTTCATGTCATGCTACCCACCTGGGCCGAGCCGTCGAGCCTGGGCCGAGCCGAAGAGCCGCTCCGTGATCCGCCGAGGCGCCGGTTATTCGCCTCGATGATCAAGCGCTCGATCCAGAGGAGAACCGTCTCGGCGCGGTCCGGGCTGTTTTTCAGGTGGAGCAGGCTCTTCCTTGGACGGAGCAAGCTGCTGAAGTGGACATGTGACGTGTCTGCTGACGTGTCTCTATCATTGATCCATGTTTTGCATGTCCCTTGATTGAACTATCCAAATCTATCCAAAGGAGGAGGTGGGGTCTGCGGGTGATCCTTCCGGCTAACGGCTAACAAGGGGCAACACTTAAGCTACAAACACAGCAAATCCTTGGTATTGAGCTCGAGCCTCTTTGCCTGTCTTTGCCTAGGCCTCCATCTCTGACTTACATCTAATTACCAAAGTCCAAATTCTCCCTGGGCATCCTTCAAAGGAACAAATCCTTACTGTGACTGATCTTTCCCGCCCCAGGGCCATCCATCTCAGATCCAACAACCCCGACACTAACCCCCCTTGTAATATGTTCGTGGCAAGGGTCTCGCTGATGCCTGAGACGCTGAGGATCTCCAATGAGTCGTCGTCCAAGTCACACATCGTCTGCAAGGCACTGCAATGCCTCGCTCGTCGGACGTCGATGCGGCTGTCGACGCGTCCCGTCCGATGACCAGAGATGATCAAAGGCCCGGTGATCCAAGGGCCGACGGCACGTGGTGATCCAAGGAGGGCGACGTTAGAGATGTAAGACCGAAAGGGATCAACAGCATCTCCTCAAACCCAAAGGAGGTGCTTTGGCCTAGTGAGAATGTGTGAAATTCCAGGGTCAATAGTCACACATCAGAATATTGATTGATGAATTATCTGTTAATTCCTGCGTGTGGCTTGTGAAATGTCTTGACAATAAAACTGATCAGCATGGAGACACCCTCAAGCAAAAACATACCGCCCACTGCCCACCCTATCGTCTGCACACACATCTCCAACAACACATTTTTTGTGTTAAATCCCGAACGAGCCAGAAACCGTAATGACATCTCATAGGTTTGGCCGAATCACCACATATATATAATTCCAAAACCTACAGCTGCCAACCTCTGATCTCCTCAATTTCGGCCTCCAAGAACCCCATGGTGCTGGGTGACAGGTCTCTCAAACGAAGCTTTATTGCCAAAGCGCAAGAGGCTCAGCAACTTAATCAAGAATTGCTGAAACTTCTCCACCTGCGCAACATTCGGTCAAAGGTCTTCCAAGGATTTGGAAGACCTCTCCGTCCCACCACCACACTGACATCCGGCGGATGATTACACCGCGTCCAACGACCAAGCGGCCAAGTGCTCGGGCTTCCGAGGAGCAAAGGAGAGAAAGGAACTAGCACATACCCTGAGAGTCAAAGACTTCAAAAGAATGGTCTGACAAGGTCTGACTATAGCGTACCTTGGTCTGACTATAGGTACCTTGGTCTGACCATAGGGTACCTGAATGGGAACTTCCTGTAGCACACGGTGTTGTAAGTTGCACAGTAATCAACCACCTCGGCGTCCAAAATTCCGATTAAACCACGGGGGTTCAGCACCCCAACATACGTGTTGTTTGACTAATTTCATGACGTGCTTGTGCTTGCCAACGCTCCCTTTTCCTCCAGGAGTACATCCTCAGGAGGATCCTGGGAAACGGAGCGTCGGCGGCGGTTTCGTCACAGGCCCGACGCCTCATGCTTCATTTCCTCGTCCGCACTGCAAAAGGAGAGCAGGTTGCTCAAGGCGCTGGTCCACTCACCACCTGGACCAGCGTTTTGCTGGAAGAAACACGGCCAGTCCAATAGCTGGTAGCTGGTGATTTGAGGCGTGACTGGGGCTTATACAGAAAAAAGACCAGAGTCCCCATGCTCCCCACACCTATTCATGGATGAAGGCTGAATGGAGGGTGAGGAGGGTGAGGAGAAAGGGGGTCAGCAAGAATCGCTTGCACGAGTTAGTGCATCAAATGCAGTCAGTTCTCCTACTGCCCCACCATTCCACGAAATGTCCACGAATAGCCCCGGGTTCTACGAATGTCCCGCGCCTTCCACGATGTTAGTAGAATAGGTTTTTGCAAAACTCTTTCTGTGCACTTCACTACCCTTCCGTTTGCCTCTGAATGAACTCGTGATTTCCTTTGCTCTTTGATGTGTGTCGGTCCCAAGCTACTGGTCCCAAGCTGCACCCAAGCGACTGGTCTGCTGAAAGAGCGTCACGCTTTCCTGATGCGAGCTGGTCGAACCACCGATGCGAGCAGCTTTCCTAACCGAACCCCTTCTGGTGGGTGTGCGCGCATGCGTTCTCGTGTGGACTTGGTCGCCGCGAATCAGGTGTTGTCGGGGTGATTGGCCTTCACTCAATTCCACGAAGCATGTGCTTGATGACGCTTGCATCTGAATGACAAGCTCCCCAAGAAAAAGTGGATCTCATGTGATCTCATAAATCCTGCGACAAACAAGACCCTACAAGTCAAAGACCTCATTTTACTGGGGATGGTCATACAAAACCAATACTTAAGGAGGTAAAAGACCAGGTTTTACTGGGTCTTTGGACTTGTAGGGAGAGTATTTGGAAGTGCTTGGCCTAGGGCCTTGCACAACTTCCACAGGATGCATACTGCATCGTCCTCTAGGGGTGCTTCATTGTCCTTCCTGGGAAAAGGGGTGGGAAAGTAGGCACGCCGTCACCTTGCGTGCCCTGATCCACACACATGCTTCACTACTGTTTCATTGCTGTTCAGCACCCGAGATACCCAAAATTCTGAGATTCCTGGCAAGCAACATCAATCTTCCAGGAGTCACAAAGGGGTGGTGTTTAGTCCTTAAGTGAGTGGATGTTCTGGGCACCCCTAACCTCCATGGATCGCACCCCTTTGTGACTGCTGGTTGTAACCTCTTTCAGGGACAGTCCTCACCAGTAAAGTGCTTTCCACATCGGACAGGATTTCAGACACGTGGCGCCACCGAAACCGAACTCGTGACATCCAGTTGGTCCAAGTGACCCAAAACCGACTGTAGGCTTGGTTGCTGCGGAAAACAATGAGGAAACCTGGCAAGGCAGGGCGAGGCGAGGTTTCATGAGCGGCCCAAGGACTTGTGTCGTCCTCGGTCCGGCGAAGTCGCCAATTTGTTGAAAGGTGATGGAGTACGTAGGCTTGGAAAAGGACACCTCTGGGGTGTCTGTGGCTTGGAAAGCTAGGATGGCCTCTCACATGTGAAAACATCAAGGTGCGTATAAGGAATAGTCCACTCACTTGTAGGTCTAGGAACCCAACTTCAACCAAAGACTTGTGCAACCGTTGGAGGACTTTGGAGCATGGAAGATCCCAAGACTGCTCTGCGCCCTGAGCCACAGCATGCCAAGGCACCGAGGACAAAGCTGAAGCTGGACCACATCGTGGTAATGCCCTCCATCTCCACATTGCCGGTGCCCTCGGACCATTGAACGGTGGGCCCAACATGATGGGGTGCTGGCATGTACTCAATATGTTCCAGCTGTAATGCAGCAAATGCAACCATCTTCAAACATCTCACAACAGCTACGAGTTGGATTTTTTCCTGAAGCCTTTGGACCCTTTTTTCATGTCTCACATTCCTAGCGGCTACTAGCGCTTCCAAGGGGGGTGCCCAATGGAGACCTGTAAGTAAAGTAGGGTAGTCTATTGGACACCCCTTGGAGGGTTCTGGTTGTTATCAAAATATATCAAAAGGTCTCCCAAGACCTTGGTGAATCAAATGAATCGAATGTCTCACCGAGACCACGATGGCTCTGGCTCTGCCTCACGGTCACCGTGAGGCAACCACGGCGACCACGAACGGATCGCTCCGGTGCCATGACCCCCGACCTTCTCGGTGTCCCAGAGCTGATGCAAAAGGACGGTGATAAAGGCCTCGTGCGACGCGGGCGACATCCAAAGAACGCGTCCCCCAACGTCGAATCGTCGAGCTTAGCCATGGTGGTGAAGGGGAAAAGCTATGGCATGGTGATGAAGGGATGTGATATAAGCCGTCCTAGATAGTGTCCTCACTATGCTAGGGGAGTGGTTTCATCTCCAACCAAACCAGCACAAACTGTCATGACCCAGAAAGAAAACAGGTGACCAAACGTTCTACCCGTTCTTGTTTAGTGGAAACCACCACTCCCCAAAAAAGGTGACCTGCAGGTTATCCACGTACTTCCTGGGTATGCCATGGCAATGACCTATGGACCTGCACAAAACTGCTCTATATACTTCTCCCTTTTTGGTGAGTGGGGGGTGTGCCCTAACATTGTGTGGAGACATTCTTCCGGTGTTGGAGCAACTCTGGAGCAAAGGGCGCACTGCTTTTGCAAACTTTACTGTCAAGTTTTGGCCTACGTGCGTCTTAATTGACATTGCAAACTATGTTGTACACAGAATGCAGCAAAGTGGAGAGTTGGCGTATGAGCTTCATTCTGCCGTGATCAAACACACCATCCGGAAGAAAACATGTGAATCATGTTAAACTGATGTGTTGACTTTCTGTATTCAGGTCTGGGTAACCTAAACCTTAAACCTTAAACACTTCACAAAAGGATCCGTTGGGACTGCCAGTGGAACGGGCAGTGGCTTGGAGTTCGAATTGCCTGGCAGTGGATGAGACCCTCCCGAACATGGTTCCCGGAAAGACCCATGCCGTTGGAGGGAGAATTTGGAGGGGTCGACTTGGGTCAGTGAACTTGGGAAGTATGCCTACAAGTCAAAGACCTCATTTTACTGGGGATGGTCATACAAAACCAATACTTAAGGAGGTAAAAGACCAGGTTTTACTGGGTCAGACTGGACTTGTATGCACTCCCTGGAACTAACTAACATGGAAGTGGATGGCCCACCAAGTGCTATAACCTACCCCGATCCATGCCCAGATGCGCACGGCAACGACCAAACCTCAGACCGTCGCTGGCTTTGACCGGTTCAAATCCACCACGCAGCGTGGATGGCGATGTGTATGGTGAACTCATGGTAGAAGGGTCTTCTTACATGTTATAAACTGTTATAAGACACTTCCGGTGGTGCTGGGTGAAAGATGGTGAAACCAAGTCAATCGTCACGCTCAAATCCGCTAGTGTTCTTAAGGTTGCGGCCACGGGCATAAGGGCTCTGATTTTCAAGAGATATCGATATCAATGTTGCCATCGCTTCATAAATAGTTGGTGCAATGCATGCAAGACTCAAAACAGGAAATGCATTACGCTAGTGGAATTGATGAATCTTGGGGTTTGTACCCATCTGACATCAATCATCAGTCTCAATCTACCAGTGTCTCCCAAGTCTTGGTTCTGCAACACCCCATGGAGCCAAGTCACCCAACTCACTTGTGCCCTCGACTCTTGGACCTACAGTCCTTCCACTATAGGCCTTCTCTATCTGACCCAGTCGAACTGCTCCAAACCCTTCACTTCTGCCGGCCTCCGACTTCCCTGGATCCGCATCACCTCGTGCCGTGCTGCACCCCGGTGCGGTCCCCTCCGCCGTCGGGCGTGGCGCTCGCCGAGGCGCCAGAGCTTTGGGGATCACGGAGCCACGGAGCCGGACTAAGACGCCCATGCCCCAGACGCCATGCTTGTAGTCGATCATCGGATCGCGCCTATAGGCGCATCAGGTTTCCGAGGCGTTGTCCGTTCGAAGGGTGGGGTGCTAAGAGAAGGGTTGGAGCATTTCGGAGGGGGATGGTTGGGTGCGCTATGGTGCGCTTGGCTGTGGTTGGGTGATACTTGGCAGGTGATGAGAGGGACGAACACGCAATATCTCCCAAATGGATGCCAAATAGTTGAGCAACCATGGAGAAGTTGTTGAGCAAACCATGGTTTAAACATACAAACATGCGAAAGCAAGTGCGAAAGCATGTCCTGATGTCAAGACATGGGATATTGATTGTAGCTTACCACTCCATCGCACATCCTCCCACTGGGGCCAGCTGTCGCCTGGCCAAGCGTACACTGCTCCGTTCGCTGGGTGGCGCTGGGGCGCTCGGTGGCGCGTGCGGATTTGAGCCCGGACAGCTGCCGTTGATCAGTTGAGCAAACACGACAGCATCGCTTTCATGGAGCAAATCTGAAGCTGAGGGAGTGTACAAAGGGCTTCACTGGGAAGTTGCAGTGACCCTGGGCCGTATCTTGCTCAAACCATCACACCCGACGGTCTTGAAAGAAGGACTTGAGACTCGAGACCTGAAATCATCTAGTCACAACACCTCCTGGATCCTATTGGATAGATGCAACCACATCACACAGTTTTCGCCTAGGAATGGCAGTCCCTTCATGTTCAGCACCCTAACTCTTGGCAGGAAGATATGACTATGACATACTATGACTATGACTATTGAGATGGTGAAAAGAAACACGGGGATGGCTTCGCCAACTCCCAAGAATGTTTTTTAGATGTGACATCTGCAATCCTACAAACACTGCCTTTACAGCCCAAGTGGATGCAAGTGGTGTGTAGGTCGCAAATCATTGCGCCTACAAACCTTCCATATCTTTCCCCAGTCCAGGGTTCGACCATCTGATTTAGTACGCTGCACAGTTCCTCCATTTTTTACCATGAACCGCGATCCCTGGAATCCATTGCCCTAGACTTCCAAGACCATTAAAACAATGGTTGACCTGGTTTTTGTAGTGTAAAATCCTTAGTTGATTCGGTAAGGCCTATTAAAACAATGGTTGTTGGAAGCCTAGGGATTGGAATCCCTGATCTCGGCTGCCTGCCCACCCACGTGCCGATTCCCTCGTTTCGGCCCAAACTCCTCACCGAGATCGATCGAACTTGTCCCAACTCTGCCGACATGAGGGACCCAAGACCCACCATGTTCCGCCGATCTCATGAGTCGTCATTGTCATTGTCATCGTCCAATGATCGAAATCGTCCCATGGCAACATCGCCCGTGTCGATGGCAGCACGTTCCTTTTTCGATCCGGCGCATCATCGGAATCATCGGAATCATACAGGGATCTCCTCGGCAGGCGACGCGAAAACATCCAGCTGCTCCTGTTCAAGTGATGTTGGTGCCGTTACAGGGATGTTTGATGTGCTTGATATTTTCAGTCAGTGCTTTGGAGGTATTTTGGGGGTAATGTTGAATCTTTTTAGTATATTTTAGGTGCTTTTTGGTGGTATTTGCACGTCCCCTGTTCTGAGGTCACCTCAGGGGAGTCCTGTTGGAATGGTCTTCCGAATTTCATGGTCCCTCCGCGACGTCTGCATGAACATTCGGCCAAACACCAACAAGAAAAGGCAAAAGAAAACACAGATCTCGGGGCCACTGAGCACTTCCTCGTGCTTGGCACTTAGCTGCACGAGTCGGTGTCGAGGGCGGCGGCAGGGCCTTTTCTCCGGCGCCCCCTCAAGCGCGCAGAGTCGGTGTCGAGTGCACCGCGCCTCTGGCACGGCTCCAACAAAGACCGGTGCCAAGGCGCGGTCTGGCAGCTCTAAGAATAGACATAGGCAGCTTGGGTGTGCTGAAGGGTCATGTGGCTGAAGATGGCTTGAGAATGGTTCTTGGTGTTTGCGCTCCTTGTTTCAGTGTCATAGGCTTGCATTGGCCGGTTTCTCTGATGTCTGGTCCGTTCCGACTATATACACATCGGTTCGGACTAATATCTTTTCTCCTGCTACAGTCCAACGCTGCTATTTTGTAGTATGGCATTTCTCAGCAACATCCTCGTGTCTTATCCTCATATGCTCTCATTCTATTGATGGGGTGAGACGGGTGTTTTCCAGGAGCTTCTCAGGGTGTGACATCTCAGTGCGATTGCAGCTCCACCCGCCGCGCAGCGTTGCCGGCTGAGCTTTGGCCACTCTTCTTGCAGCAGCAACAGCAGCCTGGACAGCTTGGCAGCAGTGCTACGCAGCGCGTAGCGCAGCTTCGAACATATGGATGCATCAGAGTCAGCATTCGAGTGGTTCGAGCGTGAGGCTCAGAAAAAGAACAAAAATCAATCTGGGATTGCTATGCCATGCCTTTTTCTGAAGCTTGAAGTACTCTGGTGGGTCAAGATGTTGCACTCACTAGGCACTTGACTTGTTGCATGTTGAAGAGCTCACCGAGTCTTTGTAAAAAGAAGTCATCACATGTCTGCTCCAAAGCAACCCCACGCTGGACACTTGGAGGGCCTTCAAGCCGTGACAAAGGAAGGACTATGATTCTTTGATGTGCAACAGATCTAATTTTCCATGCTTGGCAACCAAGGGAATGAACATCGACTGGCTAGAAGTTTCTCTTCCATTGGAATTTTGGGGTATGGTTCCAGTATATTGAAGCTGGCTTCCCCGGCAAGTGAAGAACGTAAGTACTGCCAGTGAAACACTCTTGAGTGTCAGCTGGTAGATACATAAGGCCGCCAAAGGACCCAAGGACACTCAATACTGAACTCATTCCACTTGATCATCAACCGGCTCCGCCGGGTGTTCCCACCCCAATTGTAGAGCCCACATCTGCGCCCACTTTCAGTGGAGGAGTCTTCTTTCAGTCGAACGGAACCCGCACAACCTACCTTGGCCCCTGCGCCCACCCTGCAAAGCGTAAAAACTCCTCCAGTCCAAGTCCCAGGGACACGCGCAGCAGCAACAGCAGCAAAGGAGGACCAAGAGTCCAATGACGAGCATTGCGAAGGTCTCAGTTCGAAGGGAAAACACTTCTTCACTCCCACGACTACCTGGTGGGCGAGTGAATGTTCTGTTGGACGGCTTCCCTCCTTCTGTTGGACGCATCTTGACCCCCAAAACACAACAAAGATACCAAGATCCCACTGTGAACCCCAATAGTCAACACTCTTGGATTCGTGATTCATGAATTAAAACCATGGATGGACAATCCCTTGAATTGATACCCCCTCGTGGATTCATGGCTGAAACCCATGTCCATGTTCCATGGCGCTGCTTACGGCAACCCCTGACAACCCCTGACGGGTCCAGTCCAAAGGTCCCCAGTGTTCGGCCATCCACTCGATGGCAGGTCACCAGTGGTTTAAAGTTTACCAGTTCCACAAATTCTTGGCTTGTGAGTTCTTCTTCTGCAACCAGGATGAGTGTCCATTAAGTTGGAGGGGGCACAGGGCACATGCCGCGTGTGTCATAAGATATCAGACGCACACGCACACGCCCTCGTCGCGCACGGTCGCGCACATGCACCCAATCACCCACTTCCAAGAGACATAAACACTCATGCACTTCTCGCCTCGGATCCCATTCAACAGGCGCACTCTGCGCGGTGGTCGAGTTCGCGGGAAGGGCGGAGTGTGGCAGGGGTCGGTCTTCTTTCTTGGAGAAGAGACATGCAGTCCTGTTGCATTGCAATCTTGCAAACATGAGGCAAAAAAAAGGGTGAGGCTTGGAAACCCAGGTGCTGGGTGCAAGATGTCCTCCAATCAAACTGAGAGTGAATCATTCAGATTTGCATGGAAGTTCCAGGCGCCGTGGGTTCTCCTCCATGCCCGTGGACTTTTGAGTGACCCTCATTTTTGGAGTACCCACCATCCAAAGGATCACTCCAGTCCATCCAGGCCATTAAGTTTCTCTAGGTCGCTGTGGAGCTTTTTGGGGGAGAGTCCGGCCCCATTAGCACTACACGGGGTGGGACCAAACGAATGGGACGCATGCAACAAAAAACAACCATGGCCCTAACGACCGGCTCTCCCTAACCCGTGGAATGGCATGGGCCATTAGAATTTTCCCCAAGAAGTTCCCCCTGGAAATAGACCATGAACTCCTCTACAAATGGTTTTGTTTCTTCCACTTCCGTCGTTGTTTTCAGGGTAAACCCATGGGTAGATGCCAGCACCAGGGCCTAGTGGATGATGATGGTTACCAGTAGTAATACAGGCCTTTCTCTAAAATAGTATCTGTAATTGTTGAACCGACTGACCCGCCGTATACGGTCAGTTCGGACAGACCCTAAACCGCTCGCTCCAAGCGAGGAAAAAGCACCCTACAGCGTTTCTCCAACACACCGAGCTGCCCATGCAAACGTCGCAGGTCATGGTCACCTTAGGTCGCGGATGTCCACGTATTTTCGGTGGTCGACGACTCGGATGGGTCGGGCGGACTGGGACCAGGTCAACCGATGAGTCTCGAAGACCTAACGGTACCTGATGAGGTCTTTCCCTTTTTTGCCATGTCACATCAGGACGGCAAATGGGGCCAATTGAAAAAATGTCAAAACATTCCCAAACATAAATGCTGTTAGTTTTCTCGAACCACACGGAAACCCATGTCCATCGAATTTCCCCATCTCAGCCAGATGAATGTGTGTGTGTGTGTGTCTGTGTTACATGTGCAGTGGGAGTCGAAGACTATAAAAAGAATGGTCTTTAGGTGGCCCGAAAAGGCATTTCCCTCACTTCAGTCCGTGAAAATATAGCCGAACTGGACTTCTAGGCCTAGGCTGTGTTTGTTACATGTCTCAGGTGCTGGTTCTTCTCTGCTTGTCTCGTTCTCGTCCCCACGGTTGCCCAACACATGTCTCTTCGGTGTCACGGGTCGAGCCACGATTTCCTGATCATCCACGGTGACCACGGTGCACCGGGCCTTTCCGTGGTGCCAAAACGGTCCGTCCTGGTAGAGGCAACGCCTCAGTTCACCCAGCGGTTGAGCAGCAGGACGTGGTTTGTGGCAGGAGAAGGGTGGTGTTCGAGTCCCACGTTACTCTGCGAGCGACATTCTGTTTGATTCGGATGGATCTTTTTCTATGGATGTTTTTTTTTTTTTTAAACATATGTGTTATATACGAATGTTTTACATGGATTCCAACGATCTTTGATGCGTGTCCAAGCCTTTCCTTTCACTCCATTGAACTCACATGTTGGTTCAGCTGGTCCATCCACAGTTGCTTGGATACCTTGCGGTTCTTCTCCGTCAAAAGCATCCAGTCAATTGGATCTACCCGAAGAGTGATTCAGGTACGACTAGACCCTCCAAACCTATAGTGTCTCCAAATCACCTTCTCAAACAATATGTGGATCCCTAATGGGCATCCAAAATGGATGTACTTGGCCTGAGTTTAGGTTGTTTTTGGCTCTGCACATGCCTCCCATGCCGAGGCGCATGTCGTGAAAGGAGGACTTGTCTGGCTGTCCCTTGTTCATGGCAAAGCCGGCATATGCACCTTGGATCCATGAGACAGCACTACACACCCATTCATGGACTGCGCCTGATGAGAAAAAACATAGCAAGAAGTGGATGAACCAGTGCCTTTTCCAGGCTTGATTCGCCTCGCAGGTTAGTACCTTAGGGCATCAATGTATCAAAGGGTTCGGCCTCAAACACCGCAAACCTGGTTGACTAAACAAATTGAAGCCTATAATGGATGTTTTTTTATGGTATGGCCCAAGAATTTGAACTCCTCAAAAATAGAGAATCACTACAGTTACAGCAATACTGATACTATAGTCATTCTGTCCTTGCATCCATCCGTGTACCATGGAGTCATGGCCACTGGCGCACTGGTGCATCTAATTGGAGCCTGCAACAAAATGTCTTTGGAGTGCCATCAGAAACGTCTCACCAACCACCTGCATCTACTTGCGTCAGGCTTGCATCATGAGGTTTCCAAACCACGCACCCAATGCCACCCCCGGACACTGATATGGAAACCAACGCCGATGGTGAGGGTAACTTTGCCTACGCGTCCCACCGTCCCAAGAAACCAGTGCGTCGAGCGGCACTTGGGAAGTCCTTTCCGGTCTTGCAAGGCACAATAGCCTTGCGCCACCGCCTCGGCTGCCTCACACACCTTATCCTCCAGCCAGTCTGTCTCTGTGGCCGCCTGCGGCAGTCGAAGCTGAACAAGAATCCGCGGCAAATCCCGTACATCGCACGATGTAAAACTATATATAAGGGGGAAACAATCTCAATGTAGCATACAAAGCTCGCTTCTTAGGCTTTCTCTTTCTCTGGGAGTTGGAGAAAAACGGCTGCTTCTTGGGAGTGTGCTTCGAATATCGTGTTGCGAATTCGGAATCGCCCGCTCCTACAACTCACTACCCCAACGAAATCTAGCTTTAGGTGTAGCCCATTCCTAGGAGCAGTGGATGATGGTGGTGAGAAAAGAACTTTCTCATATTTTACTCACTCTTACCGGCTTCTTGGGACAAGTCTTGGGACACACCCCTATCTATCGACCCATCCATCCAATATATGTGATTTCATTATGAAGTGCAAATACGTGCTTGATCTATACCCCAGGCTCTCCATCTAGTTATGGATCATATTACTGTACCTTATACAATTGGCAGGTCAATGCAGCGGCATCTCTGCCAGTCCCATCGGCCTCGATTCGCGATCCAATTCTTCGTGCAAGGCGCTCTTCGGCTCGACGGTCCGACATTCGACCAATGACTTGAACGTTCAGGCTCCTCAATCATGATTCTATAGGATTATATAAATGATTAAATAGTTTGGACCCGTCATTCACAAGATACTTTAGACTATTTGGGACTCCTTTAAATGTATATAGCTTGGACTCCCCAACAAGACCCTCTGACCCAATGATGCTCCACGTGGTCCCGGGTCAAACGTCATGTTCTCAGCATACCAAGAGAGGTTGAGAGACCTGAACCACCATGTAGGGCTGTTCAATATCGGATGGGCGATTTATAGGGGCGGTTCAACCTCTGTTGGTAGGTAAGAAGGTGTAAGAAGCTATCAGTGACCCACCTGCGCGTTTGAGGGAATGAGGCAGATTCCAAGTCCCATGTCGTGACGATCGGCACCCATGACTGCCACCACTTGATGGGCTCAATGTCTCAACACCCCCTTCCAAAACAGAAAATCCACAGTCCAAATGGATTTTCTTTTGATGCATGGTGCCACCCATGTCTGAGACTGGGTTCTCCTTGATCTGTTCACCCGAAATCTTTGGAATCCTTCTATCCCATCGCTCCGTCCTTGTCATCGAGGATGACCACTTCCGCCAGTGCGCGCGTCGCGTAGGCAAGCGCCAGGATGGCAAAGCGCTGCCTCGGCCACCCGCGCTGAATGGCGGTCGACCGTGTCGCGGTGAATGGTGCGAAAATTGCCGGTGAATTGGGGCGGGTGTTCGCTGGGTCAAGTGGAAAAGGATGGCTTTCAACAGGGCATCTCCATTCGCACGAACGGATGAGTAAGGGAAGTGGAAAACACATGGAAACGCAATGCTTTGAGGCTAAGGATCTTGGTGCCGAAAGCGGGTTATCTGTAGGGAGCGAGGGAGATGCTTTGACTCCAGCCCCCGACGGATCCAGAGACCTCAGCAGGGTACCACTGGACCCCTGAACCGCCCATGTTTCCTCATGTGCAAAGGGTGGCAATGGATCCATAGCAAAGCGATGTGTGCCTTGTAGACACGACCTGTCTGGGACTGCCATAGGACTGCCGATCAGTTAGGGGGTGAATGTATACGGATTCCAGTCCCATGTGTCGTGTCTGGGACAGCGTGAACGTGCTTCAGAAAACACACCAGCTTTGCCCAGGGAAGGCCCAGGTCCACCGATTCCAAACAGGGTGCCATGATGGTCGGGTCCAGCCGTACCGAACCTGAGAAGCTATACCCTAGAAGTCCAAAGACTATTTTCGGCACCACCCCAGTAAAGGAAGTTCCTTTTCGGATCACCTAAAGACTGTTTTAAACATGGTCTTGGACTCCCAGGGTATATATATATATATACTTGGATCCCTTTATAGGGACTCCTGCCTCTTTTCCTTCTACTCCCGGGCTGTCGGACCCCCCTCCGGGCTGTTGGAACACCGAGGTGCATCCTCCGAGGTGCGTCACGGGACGGTGCGGCTTGACGGACGTTCTGTGCGGCTTGAGCCGCAAATGAGGCGAGGCATCTCGGACCATCTCAAGTCTTCTCAACTGTTCCGTTCACAAGCGCGGATGGGTAGAAAAACTATGGCTGACCATGACCTCTTTCCACTTGATAATATAGGAACACGGATTAGAAAGGGGCTGTATAGTTGGGCGAAAACGATAGATTCACCAAAGGTCCAAAAGTGTCCAAAAATAATTCCTTGCACTGCTGGTTGGAGGAAAAAAGTCAGGTCCGCTTTGTATGGCCCAATAACCCAATGGTCGCTTGATGTCTCTTCCAAGGAGAGGAGCAATCTGGATGACTGTTGGAGAGGAGCAACGCTGTTGGAGAGAATGCTATCTCATTTATATGTGTTTCTTTAAACAACGTTAACATAATATAAGAATGTTATTAAACAAATCAAACGTTTGCAGGAAGGCTAAATCATGCTGAAACATCAAGCCAGCAACGCACACCCAATCCACATTGTTCTCCATGACCCTGCACTTGAACCCATGGAACAAACGTATGTTCATGACCGTTCATGTACGTTCAGTCTTAGGCCGGTGTCGCCATTGAACATTGGAAACCAACCCTGGTTCGAGCCAACATCCATCTGCCTGGCCCGAGGGGCGAGGTCTCATTGCCAAGCATCCGACATCCTCCGACGTCATCACGAGCTCGAGCTCATCGCCCGGCCATTGGAGTCAAAGGGACGGTTGGTACAGAACCGGTGAGTCGCGAGGAATGCTGCAGTTCTGAGATGTTTGAACCTCAAAACCCAACGCATCCATGGGACTGGAATACGTGCCTATACACATTGATCATCATTGATCCCTTTTTCAACCACTCCAAACGACCGGCAAATAGGGCCTCTATGCATGAAAATTACTTGGAGTGTAAAAACAACACTCCAAGTGAACTGCGACCCTGTGAACGCCTACAGAACCTTGTCGTCTCAGACCTGGGACCTTGTCGAACCTCCTTGAACACGATCAACTGCCCGAAAGCTGAACCGATCAACTCCGTGTTTACTTGCTGAACTTGACCTCGTGGAGCCTGGAACTGGAATAGCTTCTGGTTACTTGTCACGAATGCTGCAAAAACGTGGACATCGACAGAGCCTGGACCAGCAGGGTGGACACCGACAATGACTACTCTGTGGTCTTGGGACGTGGCTTGGGACGTGGCCGGCCAGCTGCTGGTACAAACTATATACATCAAGTGGGTTGGGTGGACCATCAGCTGGTTGGATGGAGCTGCTGGTTGTCAAAGATATATCAGTGAAAAACAGGTCCGCAACCTCCTGCTCCGAACCTTGTTTCTTCAGCCTGGATTCAGGCGATAAGAACGGGGTCGCGCAAGCGAACATTCATAAGATGTACATCTGAAACCACCAAAGCAGTCCAAAAATGTCCTTAAAATGGAAGTGGAAAACCACCTGTTTGCAAACAAACTTGTAAACCAATTGATGTTGACCTCTGATTAATAAAAGAGAGCGGATTGCGCTGGGGGGTGGGTTTTTAATTCATAGGTTTTTTAATGATTTCTAGCTTATTGTTTGTTAATGTACAGATGTGAGGCATTTCCAGATGATTGGAAGCAGATGATGCAGTTGCAAGATGTGTTTCTACTTTCTTTTGTCAGAGCCAGCATGACAGTAAAGAAGATGATTTTTGGAAGAATGCATAAGGATACTACCACAGTCAAATCATCTGCTGCAGACAATGCAAGCAAGGAGTTGGCGCTAAGACATCTCATTTTTCCGCGCTAGTTCTGTTCCAAAATCTAGTTCTAGCAAGCATATGCTTTGCTTACCTTAGACACAGCTTTCTTGAACTTGTTCAAGTAGCTGGCCTTGTTTTCAGCCACAGCTTGGTTGTGCAATTTGGAAAAGTACAGCACCTTAAAAGTGTGGCGAATTGCACGTGCCTCATTCAAAATCCGTGCATAATTGCGAAACCAAGAGAAAACTTGTTCGCAAGCCGACGTATTTGTCTTCGCAAATCGCCGAGACAAACGCTTGACGTAGAGTGGATTGTACACGCAAGTCTTCTTGTGCCTGTGGGCGTGGAACTTGTCAAGGCTCCAATATTTGATTTGGGAGAGGGACTTCTTACTTGCATGAGTCGGTGCGAAACCACAGACACGGTCCATGATGAATCCATTGACTTTCTGGTACAGAGGCAAGACTTTCTCCAACGACTTCTGGACCACTGGGTTGTTCTCCGGCTTGTCCATGGCAACCACACAAAGAATTCGTTGATCCTGCGGGTTGACTAGCATGAACCATCCATGCCCAAAGGGTTTCAAAGAACCGTCTTTCCGAGGTCGTCCTGCATGTGTGGTAGTTTCGCCACATTTGATGTGGACCTTCGAGTGACCATCTCCGACAAGTTCAGTCACTGATGCCCTCTTTTTGGGTGGGAAAGCAACCTTGTGCACATAGTCATCATACTTGCGGAGCGCAGCCTCTGAGATTTCATCTCCAATGACAATGTCTTTCTCGCACCCAATCAATGAGAGCTCCTGCAAAGCCAGCCAGTACATGACACAGTCTGCGTGCATTGCACGGAAACGAACTTCACTGTGCTCATGGTCAAAAACTGATTTGTAAGCAGCCTCTATGGCTCGAGCGGCCAAGAAGCCTCGAAATTCCAAGGCTGAATGATATTTCAAATAATCCAAGGAGAAGCCAAGCTTGTTGTTCACAAACAGAACATCCGGGACATTCTCCAAAGTGGCTGTGTTGATCTTCTTTCCATCATCCAGCAGGAAGTTAGGTCCAAAAGTTGTGCGGCACCCATAGGCATTGCAACGCATGGTGCGTACAGTCGTTTCACATGGACCTGCCAAGGTGTACACCACAGCTGCCACATCATGCCCTTTGGAAAAGGAACGGTGTCCACAAGGGCATTTGGTGAGTTGGGTCGAATACACTTTCCGAGCTAAGGCTCCTCCAGAAATGGAATACGGCACCTGAAGCAAAGTTGAAGAGGAAGGGATGCCCAGGACCACCTTGAAGAAATAGTACCGTGGATTCAACATCAAAGAGGATAGCATGCCGATGGATACTTCAACCTTGTCGTCACCATCCATTTTAATCGCAAAACCTTCTATGTGCTGCAAAGCAAAGAAATGTGAAGCCTGAATGTCAAGAACAACATATTTGCCTTGCGTCAGCGACATGTTTCGGGGGATGATCTGAAGGCTGGCACCGAGTGGACGAAGCATGACACACCCATCAAGAGCTGTAAAAGGACCATCTCGAGGACAAGCAACAGGACACCCAAGGTTCTGCAAGGCCACAACAAGACAAGCATTCTCAAAGCCATCTAAAGATCCATGACCACCCTCAAACTCCAGTGCGTTCTGCAATTCATCATCAAGCTCATCTAGTCCATCTGATTCTCCAATACCAGGGAAATCCGGATTCTGTGGCGGGTCAGCTGGCATGGCTGATGAACTAAGACTGGAATTGTTGACGCGAGACCTTTTGGCAGGCGATGGAGAAGGCGTATCCAGCTCGATGGTGTCAATGCGCTGGCTTTTGAGCTCCTTGAATTTGGAATCCACTTTTTCCTGCTTGATCTTCATGCTCATCTCATCCGGAGGCAGCAAACGCGGTGCTTGTTGGGTCTCAACTAGCTCACCACCAAACAATCCACGACCGCGAATGGTGATGGTGCGTGGGACCTGTTCTCCGCGAAGCAAGCGGGCAAGAAGTTCTTGGGACCAAATTGAATCAGCATGAAAAGACTCTGGGAGTTCATGGGCCTGCGGATTGCGTTTGTACGCCCTAAAGATTGGCCGTTCAGCTTCTGCAAGCAAATCTTTCTCCTCAGGGTTAGGCCATGGGATGAAAGGCACGCTTGTCGCACCTGTGCTAGCAAGGCGCCAATACACACCGTGATCGGTCAAGACTATAAGGTGCGTTCTGGCTAGGATAGCGGCCAAATCTGCCTTGTCCTCAACGCCAGCAAAAGAAGGAGCGACAAGGTCGAGGAAGTCTTTGTGCTCTATCTTCTGCTTTCCTGAGGCTTGCGTGCCCTTCACCAAGTCTTCTTCAATCTGCATGTTGTACGGATTGTTGCAAGCATGCCGACCGGCTCCTTGGTCAAATTGCGCAGATGAATATCTGGCCCAGACGGTAGCATCCTCTTCCTGAGGCAAAGATGTAAATCTGCATCTAGAAACATCAATATATTGATAAAACTTTCGAAAACTATGTATTTGTTTGTACAGATACAGTTACCCCAAGTGTAATTATATTTTGAATTATTTTGACATAGAGATACACAAGTGAAACGTAAAAAGATAACCACAAACATATCTCTGTCGGCGAGGAGCAGACGGGTTGAGGAACGCTTTGAGGAATGAGGCATCCATTTTCTGAAGCAGACCATCATCAAAGACGCCCGGCTTGAATTTGGTGATCGGCTCCGCTTTGAAGAAGTCCAAATGCTTCGCTGTGACGATGCCCGGGACAAGATCTGTGCGTCCAGCTTGCTCAATTTCAAACCTCGACTGAGCAAAGAGGACTGTCTTGGAGCCCAAAGATTTGCCAACCCTTGTGCGGCCAATCCATGTGATAGAATGCTGCCGCATGCTTGGCAACATGTGCACGAGGATGTCGTCAAGGAACCAAGGAACAAAGCTCTTCAAAGTAAAAGGCCAATACTCAATGGTTTTGGCATTTTGTCTACCTTTGTAGTAGTTCAGCAAAGCCGTGGTAACCTTCCCCTCATTCCAACCTTCAAGAGGACCCCCGGGTTGATGTACTTGTTCATCGGTCCATTCCATAAATTGGTTCCGGTTGTTGGAGCGTGGTCCATGATCACGAATGAAGCGATAGCCATTCTCACGGGCTTGCTGATCAATGGTCATCTTCTTCTCGAACTTTGGTTTGATGATCCAAAGGCGCAATTGCATCCCACCCATGCGATCAAGCATATAATTGAAAGCAGACAGGCCTAAACGCACCTGCTGGCCCCAATCGAAACGGAAAGGATGACCATGACAAGAATTCATGCAATCCTTGGAGAAGACTTTATTCTTATGCAAGTAGATGTGCTTGAAGATGTCCACAAACTTCTCATCAGGATTAGGAGGATCAGCGGCTGGCAAGATGACTATCTGCATGCT